GTTTAATTTTGGACCCTTTTGACCTCAATATGAACCAATTTGATAGCGGGGCCTACAAATAAAAAATCTAAATACATGGTTAGATTCAGCATATCAAAGAACCTCATATATTCAATTTTTGTTGAAATCAAACAAAGTTTAATTTTGGACCCCAATTTGGACCAACTTGAAAACTGGGCCCATAATCAAAAATCTAAATACATGTTTAGATTCAGCATATCAAAGAACCCCATATATTCAATTTTTGTTGAAATCAAACAAAGTTTAAATACTGGACCCTATCTTGGACCAACTTGAAAACTGGGCCCATAATCAAAAATCTAAACACATGTTTAGATTCAGCATATCAAAGAACCCCAAGAATTCAATTTTTGTTAAAATCAAACTAAGTTTAATTTTGGACCCTTTGGACCTTAATGTAGACCAATTTAAAAAACAGGACCCAAAATTAAAAATCTAAATACACGGTTAGATTTGGAATATCAAAGAACCCCAATAATTCAATTTTAGATGAAATCAAACAAAGTTTAATTTTGGACCCTTTTGACCTCAATATGAACCAATTTGATAACGGGGTCCACAAATAAAAAATCTAAATACATGGTTAGATTCAGCATATCAAAGAACCCCATATATTCAATTTTTGTTGAAATCAAACAAAGTTTAATTTTGGACCCTTTGGACCTTAATGTAGACCAATTTGAAAACTGGGCCAAAAATCAAAAATCTAAATACATGTTTAGATTCAGCATATCAAAGAACCTCATATATTCAATTTTTGCTAAAATCAAACAAAGTTTAATTTTGGACCCTTTGGACCTTAATGTAGACCAATTTGAAAACTGGACCCAAAATTAAAAATCTAAATACACTGTTAGATTCGGCATAACAAATAAATAAATGTGATCAAAGATTTTACAAATCTAATGCGCCATACTGTGCAATTAAAGATTACTTCTTGAAATTTTTCAATATTTGAAATTTGAAAAAAAAATAATATTTGAAGAATAATTCTTTTTAATTTCTGAAATCTGAAATGAGAAAAAATTGGCCCCCCACAATTTCTTTTTATCCCCCCCCCCCCTTTTTTCCCCCAAAAAAATTCTTTCCCTCAAGATATGGTCATAATCTCAATTCAAATTTCCAATGGAGTTGGCAACCATAATTACCCATTTAAATTTACCATAGTGCTAACTTAATCTATTTTATAATAGAATTAATAAAAATATAGTGTCAAATCTTTCATATGGATTTTTTTGTAAAAAAAAAAGATGATACATTTGCAGATATTTTTACTGGTCTTCCTTTATAAATATGCATTTCTTTAAACATAATTTAAAAGCAGTGTAAGGGAAGTAACCAAAACGTTGTATTTGGATTACCTCCCTTACACTGTTTTAGATTATCTTTATTGTTCATTAACCATTACTTTATACATAATTTAAAAGCAGTGTAAGGGAGATAATTTCAATGATGTATTTGATTTATCTCCCTTACACTGCTTTAAATTATGTTTTGTACTAAAGTATTTGTCCATTAACCAGGACAACCTTGTTTTTCCCCCTTTTTTGCCCCTAATTCCTAAATAAGTTTGAGCCATAACCCCCCAAAGCAAATCCTAACCATCCCTTTGTGGTATGGAAACTTGTAGTATAATTTCAGAGAGGTCCATACACAGTTCCACAGTTATTGTCTGGAAACTAGAAAATGCTCATTTTTGGCCCCTTTTTGGCCCCTAATTCCTTAACTGTTGGTACCATAACCCCCAAAATCAATCCCAACCTTCCTTTTGTGGTATTTAACCTTATGGTCAAATTTCAAAAAGATCCATTCACTTAAACTAAAGTTAGAGTGCGAAAACCAATGTGTATTCGGACGACGACGCCGGACGACGACGACGACGACGCCGGACGACGACGACGACGACGACGACGACGACGACGCCAACGTCATACCAATATACGACCACAAAATTTTTTTGCGGTCGTATAAAAATTGAATCGTTATTTCCTGTCGACATGCACATCTACATAGTATGTCCTTATTATCTTAAAAGGTTTCATGAAATTCTGTTGTGTAGTTTCAGAGGAGTTGCGATGACAAACTGTTGCAGTAGTACATTAAAGTAAATAGTGAGTTCAAAGGGGCGTAACTCCTTGAAAAAAAATTGAATCGTAATTTCCTGTCTACATGCACATCTACATAGTATGTCCTTATTATCTAAAAAGGTTTCATGAAATTCTGTTGTGTGGTTTCAGAGGAGTTGCGATGACAAACTGTTGCAGTAGTACACTGAAGCAAATAAGTTCAAAGGGGCGTTACTCCTAGAAAAAATATTGAATCGTAATTTCCTGTCGATATGCACAACTACATAATATGTCCTTTTTATCTAAAAAGGTTTCGTGAAATTCTGTTGTGTGGTTTGAGAGGAGTTGCGATGACAAGAAACAGGACTGACGGACGGACGGACTGACGGACGGATGGACTGACGGGTCAAAAACATTATACCCTCCGCAACTCGTTGCGTGGGGTATAACTAGAGGCTCTAAAGAGCCTGTGTCGCTCACCTGCATCTTCAATAATGGCCACTTTTTAGTAAAAGTCATCATTAAAGGGGAATAACTCTATAAAGAGTTAACTGATAATTTCAGTCATGTTGACATATTTGTAGATCTTATCCTGTTGATAATTATTCCTTTTTAAAGTTTCTATTTACCTATTATAGTTTCAAGAAAATAGGCAAAAAAATGTTAAAAAATTATCATTCAAGGACAATAACTCCAATAACAAGTCGACTGAAGATTTTGGCTATTATAGCTTATTTTTGGATCTTGTCTTACTGATCATGTATTACAGTTTTCAAGATAATAGGCAAAAATGGGGAAAATCGTCATTAAAGGGCAATAACTTCAATAAGCAGTCGACTAACAATTTTGGTCATGTTTCACTCATTTGTAGATCTTGTCTGGCTGATCATTTTCTATCTATCTAATATAGTTTTTAAGATATGAGGCAAAAGCGCAAAAAAAAATGGTAAAAATCGTCATTATAGGGCAATAACTCTAATAAGGAGTCAACTGAAGATTTATACCATGTGAAATTATTTGTAGATCTTGTCTTGCTGATCATTTTTGCTTTTCAAAGTTTCTGTCTATCTATTATAATTTTAAAGATAACAGGCAAAAATGTTTAAAAATGGTAAAATTCATCATTTAAGGGCAATAACTCCTATAAGAAGTTGTCTGACAGTTTTGATGTAATCAACAACAGGTAGAGGTCAACATTCTGAACATTTTTGCCCCTTTCAAATTTTCTTTTTATAGCGGTTTTCAAAATAATAGGCAAAACTTGCATTTTAACCCTATGTTCTATTTTAGGCCGTCGGCCATCTTGCTTGGCAAGCAGGGTCATTGGACACATTTTTTAAACAAGATACCCCAATGATGATTGTGGCCAAGATTGATTAAATTTGGTCCAGTAGTTTCAGCGGAGGAGAAGAGTTTTGTAAAAGTTAAGATGACAACTGACGGATGCCAAGTGACAAGAAAAGCTCACTTGGCCTTTGAGAAAATTTTGCACAATCTATAGCCTGAAAACAGCTCAAAACTGTACTTTCACATAATATTGAAGAAAACAGCATGGTTAATACCTTTAGGAAAATTATAATGTGTGGGCCATTGGACATCATGCCCCCTCGCATAATCACATTTCTATGTAATTGAAAAAAAGTTGTGGTAAAAAACACCTTCATTTTGATAAAATATATCCTGGTTGCCTGGCCTAACCTCCTCTTTGCTACTGTCAAGCAGTGAACCAGGATCCCAGGCTAGATAAAGTACTGAATTTACACCATTATAGTTCTGTGTTCAGCGAACTATGGAATTAGGACAAAACCGTAATTTTGCAAATCATTTTTAAGTTTCACATCATGATGAACATGTGTACAAAGTTTCAAGTTAATGTGACCACAACTTCATGGCAAACTACCAACCTGATACTAGAGGGACAGACTAATGGAGAAACTGAGATGGACAGCGAAATAAAAAAAAAACAGAATGCCCTATACTATCGTATGAAGGACTTAAAAATTCACATTTTTGTTGGAATTAGTGAAATACTTTACCCTATCTATATTCAAAACAATCAGCAGGTTCCGAGTTTGAAAAGATGGACACTTTTTGAACACAAGGCTTGTTTAAAGCCACATTTTGCATGTGCCAAGTCAGGCTATCTGAACCATGTGTTGTTGTTTGGAAGTGCTTTTTGGAGAGGGACTGGATGTTTGTGACGGTGCAGTCTGTAGTCTCTAGTGATTCCTGTTAAGCTTTTCATGTAGTGTGTTAAAATTAATCATTGCATTGCATTAAGTGAAGACTCATATTTAGGCAATATTCTAAATTGAGTTATTTCTCTTTGTTTATAATTGAGGGTAGAACAAATAGATTCATTCACCATGCCTGATTTTCTGAAGATGTAACTTGATCAAATAGTTTCCTAGCAAGTATGGTTGTAACCTGTACATTATATGTACTCACAATAAAACTGGAGGAGAAGATGGCTGAAATATAGCTTACAAACCAGTGACGATACAGATTGATTGCACATTACAATGTGCAATAACTACAAAAACTAAAAAAAAAGAAAGATTGTCAATGAAATAACTATCTACCATTCACAAAAAGACACAGATGTAAACAATTACATGTCACCATATGTTTTTCAACAAGAAGCAAAATCAATGCATATTCAGGATGAGAAACTATTAACAATCAATACAAACTAGGTAGGATGACAAGGATGATGGGCAGGAAATTTGGGCTGTCAATGGCAAACAGTGGGACGTTGGATAGGGACAGGATGCGATAAGACCAAAGTGACCATATTTTTATACCAAAGTCACCCTCCATTAACCAAGTGTATCCTCTTTCAACAGCAGGTGGTTTAAAAATTATTTCTGTTTTTATGAACTACATTTACTGAATTAATGCACAACACACTGATGAATAAACTGATATCAGAATAGACAAACTGATATATTTTATTTCTTTTTATTATTAAATATAATTGTTATCATAAACATGATGTAGAATTCATTATACACGGCACAGTAATAGCACTTATAGTAATGTTAGTATTTCAACAATAGCCATCAACATTCCACACCCTTTTTGCAATGCTGTCTTAACAACCAGTGAAATAAAAAGTTCCAAGGCTGAAAAAAATATCTAAAATAATCAAACGCATAAAACATTCAAAAAAAAATATTGCCCTTTTTTTTAAACAAAATTTAATATATTTAACTTTTCCTTCTTAAATGTATTGAAAAAAAAACTTTGAATAGAGAAAAAGTTTTCTTATACATTTAAACAAATAAATATAACCCTTTACAATACTAGAAGGCTATTTTAGTTACCACTTAAAAGATCCTCTAGTAATTAAATGAAATAAACAATAATTTTGATATAAAAAAACTGTCATTTGCAAGTTATATATGTGATCTTTGTACACACTCATTATGGCTGAGGTGTAAATCTAAGGTAACTTTTCCCAGATGGCACATCCTGCACTCTATGTTTTGGAAAAAGTTTTGCAGCTTCTTCTGGTGTAACACTTGGGATAACCATGCATTCTCCTCCTTGCTGCAAAAAAAAAGGAAAAGGAAACATATTAACAAACATGTGTAGTTTCTTTTAAAAGATTAACTCCGGTCAAGTAGACACAGTGAATTCTTTAAATGAATATATAAACTAGGGAACTCTTGTCATGTTTACATCTAATTTTTATTCATACTTATTAGTTTGTACTTGTACCACAACTGTAGTGTACATGGTCAATTGACTTTCAGAGTTTTCACTAAGTCTATTAAGTCATCTTTTTTTTCCCATGACGAGTTCACATATCTGACAAAAATAATATCATCATAACTAATGCATTAACTCATCATTAAAGTTTTCTGACCTAAACAAAATGAACTTAAATAGATTAAGATAAAGATTCTTATTTCATATTTCGGGTAATAAAATGAAGATTTTTAGACTCAGTTGATAGAATCTTGATGCATGTTGGGTTAGTTGTTTAGAAATTGTCAGTGCAGTCTTAATTCTTTGCGTTCAGAACTCATGGAATCATCTCAGTAAGAATCCTGGACTTTGTGACAAGGAAAAGATGATATACTATGTGCATTTCATGTTCGTTTTACAATTACCAAATTCCCTCTCAAGATGTTGAAAATTTCTCGAGTTTTGCATTGCCAATTATGTTCAATTGTACTAAAATACTTGAAATCTGTAAAAATGGAATAAACCATTTGTAAACAGCTGCACTAAGAGCACATGATCAGCCCTTATTGTGCATATTGAAATTGTTGCAAGAATAAAATGGGATATTTCAAAGGCATTTAATCATAAGCAAATAAAATGGCTCTGCAGAAAAAACATGCCTGAGGATACCATTCAATCAAACAGTTTGTTATGTTCACAATTTCCAACAGTATGTACAGTTTCCACTAAATCAATCCAGGCAAACCCAAGTTATGGTAAAATAAATGTGGATAGTGTTCACATGTGGACACAGATGATGCCCCCGCTTGCATATCATATAGTTATAAAGGGACATAACTGAAGAACGGTAAAAATGATGCTACCCAAATTTGAACTTGATCTGAGTTTTGTGGTAATAAGCATTGTGTGTAAGTCTCATAACATTTGGTTGAGGCTAACTTAAGTAGAGAACAGAAACTAAAAATTCAGCAGATGTCCAACCCTGAAAAGTTGGGCCAAAATAGACACAATATTCACGCTTGATACAGGTCTGAATTTGGATTGTAACTAAATTTTTGACACATAATAGGTTTCTGACACAGAATAACTGTAGTCAAAGAACTTCAAATTGGTTATATGATTTGAATTTATATTTAATTTATTGCTTTTGTGCAATACAAAATGCTGTTGCGAATTGACCCCCACCCCTACCAAAAAAATATCATTTTACCCCGGTTTTTTGCTTTTGTGCAATACACTATGCTGTTGAATATTAACCCCCCAAAAAAAATATTTGAAGAAATTTTCTTTTAATTTCTGAAATCTGAAATGAGAAAAATTGTCCCCCCTCCAATTTTTTTCACCTCCCACCTTTCCCTTATTCCCCCAAAAATTCTTTCCTTCAAGATATGGTCAGTATCTCAATTCAAATTTCTAATGCAGTTTGCAATCAAAATTACCCATTTAAATACATCATAAAAGTTTTAAAATATAAAATGACATACATAGTCATGGCTAAAATTAATATTAATTAATAGTAAGGCCAAAAAAAATATATATGTCTGTTTTAGGTTACATACTTTAAAAAAATAGGGTAGGTAGGTCGGTATTTCCATTTTATTTTTTCATTTTATTTTTTGTGACATGATTTTGAGTCGTGCCATTTCGACTTGTCGTGGTCTGAGTTGATCATGGGCCGAGTTTACCCGTATTTTTGATGATTGGATTATTTCCCTTGGAAAAAAATGGCGGCAAAGTGTTTATTTCATCACACGAGTTGCGAATTTCCTTAAAACAGCTGTCATATTCACAATTGTGAACATAGGGATGTATCAGGCAATTGATTTATATCATTTGCAACACTACTTTCGCTTTTGACATGAGTTCAGTTTATTTTTCACTTTACGACGGAAATAAAATGACTTAGGGTCGGCGCTCAAAAGTAGGGTAGGTCGGGTAACCGTAAACAGACATATATTTTTTTTTGGCCTAACTGCTAAAAATAAATTCGACAGCTAATCACCTCAAGACAATCACCATTTCTTAATACATAATTTACAAGCAGTGTAAGGGAGGTAATCAAACAGTGTTCTTTAATTTGAATTGGATTACCTCCCTTACACTGCTTTTAAATTGTCTCAATTGTCCTTTAACCAGAAAAACCCTTGTTTTTCCCCTTTTTTTGCCCCTAATTACTAAATGGTTTGAGCCATAACCCCCCAAAGTCAATCCTAACCATCCCTCCTTTGTTGTATGGAAGTTTGTGGTATAATTTCAGAGAGATTCATACACTTTAACACAAGTTATTGTCTGGAAACTACAAAATCAATCCCAACCTTCCTTTAGTGGTTATAAACCTTGTGTTAAAATTTTATTTTTTTCTATTTACTTATACTAAAGTTATTATCCGGAAACCATCTGTCTTCGGACGACGACGATGACGTGATACCAATATACGACCAAAAAATTTTTAATTTTTGCGGTCGTATAATAACTTGATATTTAGAAGAAAATAAAAATTTTGCAATTTTTCCATTTATAAAGGGGCATAACTCTAGAACCGTTAAAGTGACACCACCAAAATTCAAACTTGATCTGTGTTTTGTGGTAATAAGCATGGTGTATAAGTTTCATAGCATTTGGTTGAGGCAAACTTAAGTAAGAGAACGGAAACTAAAAATTTTGCAATTTTTCCATTTATAAAGGGGCATAACTCTAGAATGGTTAAAGTGACGCCACTAAAATTCAAACATTATCTGTGTTTTGTGGTAACAAGCATTGTGTATAAGTTTCATACTATTTGGTTGAGGCAAACTTAAGTTAGAGAACGGAAACAATTTTGGGACGTACAGACGGACTTACGTACGTACGTACTTACAGACGGACAAGGGTAAAACTTAATGCCCCCACCGCTAAGGCGAGGGCATAAAAAGTGAAAAATTTATTAAAATCTGACAGTTAAAGTCCTATAACTCTGGAGCGACAAACAGAAAACTTTAAAAAATCTAAAGGGAGCTTCCTTTCATCAATCCCCACAATAATGTAAAGTTTGGAGGAAATCAATCTAGGTATATTGGATAGGGACAGAAACTTTGCCTTGCAACAGGCCACCTAGGGACCCCTCAAAAAGTTGTTGCAAGGGTTTTTAACGTGAAGAGATTGAGTGGCACTTTCTCTACATGAGACATCAGATTTTACGTTCCCATTCTGACCTGACGTGGCTTTGTTCTTGTACATCCTACACAGCCAAACTGATGACCAACTTTGGCAAGGGTTTTACTGCCGGTCGAAAGACCAAAATGACCATATTTCTATTCCCCAGTCCATTTTGGGTGGAATGAAAGATGTATAAGAAATTTGTCACTAGGTTTCTGTAAATGGATATGTGGCACATGTCATGTTTGCCATCAAATGAATTAATATAAGGATCTGTCTAGAGTGTGTCTTTTTTAAATATATATCTGAGTTGCTAGGTACTTTCAGAAAAGAAAATAACTGAAATTTGAACAATTACAACAGAGAATCCCCTATAAAATTTATTACATTTAATTTCCTTCATATTGTAATCGAGAATTACCTGCTAGTTTCAAATGACCAAATAAAAAGATCAATTTACAGATGACAATGAAAGATCATTCAATTAATAATCTATCAAATACTTAAAGGGAAAAAGGATCATTAGAAATGTGCTTTTACTCCACTCATGTTTAATATCATATAATATTATATAAACCATGTAAAATGTTGACATCAGACATTTATAAGATATAAGTCTCACCTGTGTAACATGTAAACTATGCAAAAGTTTCAAAGTTGATGGATCGTGACTGAGGAGGCAGGGCCAAATAACCTCCATAGAAATGAGACACTGCCAATGCTTATACAACTGACTATGAAATATCATTGACTTAACATTTTTCGGTTCCCTCAAATTGACCAATCACAAAAAAGTAGCCCAAGTCTTGCCTTAGCTGACGCAAGGCAAAATTCAACGGTTTAGATATAAATTGCAATTACAAAAAAACAATATTGCACACCATACCTGCCAATTTGCTGGTGTTGCCACTTTCTTGGTAGCTGTTAACTGTAGAGAATCGATAACTCTTAGTATCTCACTGTGGAATACAAAGTTTAACACATGGTAACTAATTACAATATTGACTACTTTGAGTATAAATAAATGAAATCGAACATTAAATTAATCATTAATATTAATTAGTGATTAAGTAATTAAGATTAAATAATGAGCTTGAAGAAAAACCGTTGATTGAATACTTACTCAAAGTTACGACCAGTAGTAGCTGGGTACAAAGCAGACAGCTTCAACTTCTTGTCAGGTCCAATGATGAAATACTAAAATTAAAAATGGATGACAAATTACTTATCAAGGTTTGATTCTAGGACAGTAACTCATAAAAGGTAAAATATAAAATGGCAAATATGTACAGACGGGCAGCTTTTGCATACTACAATGTACATGGAATATGGCAATGTCATGAATGAAAGTGAAGAGATACCAACATGGACCAATTTGACCATGCAACCCCATTATTATACATGTGTTATACAAGGTCTTGGTCTTTGTTTTGTAATTTTCAAGTATAAAATATATATTCCAAAACATTTTCTTAAGGAAATATATATATGTTGTGTACAAGTTATCATTTTGTACAAATTATAATTTGTATTTTAACTTTGTACAAATTACATGTACAAATTGTAATTTGTACAAAAAGTGCTTGTACAAATTACAATTTGTACAAAATTTGACTAAAATTCACTTTTAACTTGTACAATAATTTTTAGTATGTTAATTTAATAGGATGGAAACACGAAATGTACATGCATGCCAATTAATTCTGATAGTACAATAGAAATTGGCCCCAGTGACAATTCTAATAGTATAATAGAAATTTGCCCGAGTGACAATCAGGATGACACTGACGTTGAAACACCAATCATACGTGCCAGGAAGCGTGCGCTGTCTGGCCAACAGATCCAAGCCGAATATCTAACCAAGAAAACAAACGGAAGTTATCAGAACTAGCTGTGGGGGATAATATCATTATACCAATTCCTCAGTATGATCGTGCCAAAACTGATCCTCAAAATATCTTAGGTGTAATTACCGAATCTGGAGAATTTGGGTACCGCATTGGAACAGCTGTAGGTATTTTTACAGGATATTTGTCAAAAATCAAATTGAAGCTGTTAAAAACACATCTTTCTTTATTTGCAGTAACAGTTCCTGAGTTTCAACTTTCGCTACATGTGTGTGAAACAGTTAAAAAGCTTTAAAAAACTGGTGGTCAGAGGTTTCTTTCATGTAAATGAAAAGGGGGTGCAGCACTTCTTAATATAAATGTAATAAACTGCTTCGCTGAGCGCAGCTGGATACGCCCGCAGAGGTCCAACCCTGAACAGTTGGGGCAAAAATGGACACAATATTCAAGCTTGATACAGGTCTGAATTTGGATTGTAATTAAATATTTGACATATTATAGGTTTCTGAATAAATGTAGTCAAAGAACTTGAAATTGGTTATATGAATTGAATTTATATTCAATTAAAGATTTCTTGCTGTTGTGCAATACACTAACTATGCTGTTGCGCAATACTTAGTAAATCTGTTGTCAGACTATAAACAAATAAAATTTATAAAATTCTAAAGGGAGCTTACATCAATAGATATAAACAATTCACCAAAGTTTCATAAGAATTGCTGAAAGCATTTTTGAGTTATTATCTGAAAACTGGAAAATCCCCCCTTTTTTAATGAATAAAACCCCATAACTCGGAAATGTAAAATCTGAAATTTATAAAATTCTAAAGGGAGCTTACATCAATAGATATCAACAATTCATCAAAGTTTCATGAGAACTGCTGAAAGCATTTTTGAGTTATTGTCCGAAAACTGGAAAATCCCCCGTTTTTTTTTATGAATAAAACCAAGTAACTTGGAAACGTCAAATCTAAAATTTATAAAAATCAAAAGGGAGCTCATGTCAATAGATATAAACAATTAACCAAAATTTCTTGCAAGTTGGTGAAAGCATTCTTGAGTTATTGTCCAAAAACTGGAAAATCCCCCTTTTTTTAATGAATAAAACCCCATAACTCGGAAACGTAAAATCTAAAATTTATAAAAAACGAAAGGGAGCTCACGTCAATAGATATAAACAATTCACCAAAGTTTTATGCAAATTGGTTAGAGCGTTTTTGAGTTAATGTCCGACATGTTGACGACGGACGGACAGACGAACAACGGTATACCATAATACGTCCCGTAAACGGGCGTATAAAAAGCAAAAGATATTGTGCTATTCCAGATTCCATAATTCACTCATATGCTCAAAAAAATTATACAGAACTATTTTTTGTATTTTGTAAATAAGATTTATTGTGTGGTCATTGAATAAAAACTTTAATAGTGTGTATCAATGCTTTTTTTATAACAAAATCCATACTATAAATTATTGTACAAGTTATAAGTAAATTTTAGTCAAATTTTGTACACTTTTTATACAAAGTCAAAATACAAATTATAATTTGTACACAACATATATATAGTTAATATAGCAAAATGTTCAAAAAACCTTACATCTGAAAATCATACTTAACATATAAAGGGCTCACACAATTTAAGAACAAACATTGACAAAAGGGAAAAGTGACTTGACATTTTGAATCATATACTACAGGAAGGTTAGACTTAACAATGATACCCATCATCATACTGCTGTTTTGCCATTTGTATCCCCCTTTTTGTTTTACACAGTTTTGTTTACTAAGAATCCATTATGAAACATATGTGCTTTTCTAATCTAACACATAATTATAATGTAACACTTGTATAAATTTATTTTTATTTTGTCATTTTTCAGTATATATACATGGATAATGTAGTTTCATTTATATTATGGGTAGATTGTATTTTTCTGGATAATTGATTTTTTTGTGGATTGGACAATAGACAAAAACGCGAAATTAATTATTGTGATTTCAGGAAACGCTGCAAACAAATAATGATATCAAGATTTTAAATTAGAGTTTCAATTTTTGCAAAACCTATCCCATTACTATTTTCGCAATAATAAAAACATCACAAAATTTCTGAATTAATAGTTTTAAAGATAAATAAGGTCTATTTTGATGCCTCTTTTAACAACCATTTGGTTCAAAGAAGATTTATCAAAACGTTACAGCAGGAAAATGACAAATGCAAAGCAAAGTGGTGGGAAGATAATACTGGCCCTTTTTGGTCAGCTGAACTAAGAAAACTTACAGCTCTACATGTGAGTGGTAATCCAGCCTTGTCTTTCTCTACTGGATCTAACATACCAAGCTGTACTGCTAACTTTCTCTCCTTGTCAGCAATGATAGGGTAGGGAAAGTCACCACCACATTTTTGGTAGCTCTGGATATCCTGCAGAAATAAAAAGAAAAGCAAAAAAATGAAAAATAAGTAATATTGGAAATAGGAGGTCTACAGACAAGTATCACTTCAATTCTTGTATATATAGCTAAATATCATGCTTGTCAGAGTATTTTAATATAAAAATGGTAATCACTTTAGTTTTACCTCGCCAGTGATTCCCAAGCAAGGACTCCTTATGGGATGTCCTCAGATCCTTACTCAAGCAACAAGCAAAGCTTACTTATATCAAAGTGAAAGATCTGATTTTAATCAAATTGACAAGAAACAATTTTTGAGTTTTTGTGCCAAAGTTTTGAGTTTGTTAAGGGCATATGATATGGTTACAGGGGAGGTAATGACGTCGCTAATGTAAAATGTTATTTTTCACGACGTCAAACTGTAACATTGTGGAAGAGATGCATTTTTCCACTGATTTTAATCATTAATTAGATTAAAAGGAGTACATGGACACTCTTTTTAAAATGGCATTTGGTTTGATTTTTTATTTTAATTGTACAAATTTTAAAGAAAAATTCATTGATGAATTTTTTTTTAAATTAGATAAATATACAGCCAAAATTCCATTTTTTTCTAAAATCTTGAATATTTAATAAAACTGAATTATTTCCAAAGAATTGTTACACGAAAGAAGATAGTGTTGTGTTCACATTTATCTTTTGAAACAAAAATGGTAGGTATATTTGTCCAAAAGGATAGAAATTTCCAAGAAACCAAATTTTAAGTAAATATCTAAAATTTTGACCCCATTTATCTGAAGTAGCACATCATACATGAAGGTATATTTTTAATGACATTTTTGCATTGAAGAGGTGAAAATAGCTCAAAAAAAAAATCATATAGGATCAAAACTGTATTGTATGCCTGCAAGTATCTGCTTTCAATATCCTTTTCTGTTCAATAAATAATTGTACCAGATAAACTAAAATCAACAAATGTGACAAAGGTGTTGTCTCTTTAACATGTTTAATAATTGGTTATCCTAGGTTTCAATATTATCTTTGTCTTTATATTTACATGCACCCTATGACAAAATCCCCTTTTTTTCAAATTCAACAATAGCGTTTAATATTCACACAGTCATGACAGCGTATAATTTTCCATAGACAAACCTAACAAAATGGAAATAAACAATTAAAATTTTCTGTATATGTAACGGTTTATTTCTTCCTCTGTAATATTTTATCCTGGGGATAATTTGTCACAGAAATTTTTTTCCAGACATGGTATTTCACAGGTAGATTTTATCCAGAGGAGTGAAATTCTATTTGTCTTATGTGGATAGTATTTACCAGTATATATTTTCCGTTCCATATTTCACAGAACCTTGTGAAATATAGTCCCACTGTCTACTATGTTAGGTACTCGCAATCAATACATACCTGACCATAATTATAAATGTTTCACCAAGGTAGAACATATTTGCATAATTTATCAATCAAAGGGAGGTAGTTATGAGCCATTTATATTTTACAGATATTATATTCCAGAGACCAGAATCTATTTCATAGTGAAATTTTTCCTTTATTCTTAATTTTTCATATTAATTTATATAAAAAGATGACTTAAAACATGATTTAATAAAAACTTTATTTCTACTTACTTTTTTATTTGTACTGAGATCTGAAAACAACTCACTTTTACCTGTATTTCAGTAATAGTTATACACCGAGGGATAGGTGTGTCTGGATAAGAAACCCCAACGGCCGGAGGTCGGTCGGGAGATAAGAGACATATGACTGGGATAAAAAAAATTACCTTCAAGCAAAGGAGTATTTAAAGGATTATTTTTTTATTCCATATAGATGCTTATTGGAATTTCCTAAAATGTGTTTTTTTAATATCATGAAACAATTTGTAGTGAACACTTTTAGAAATTTCTTATGTTCATGCTATGTAAAGAATAATCAATTTCTATTGTTACGAATAACAATGGACTTTGTTTGCGGGATGTAGAAGCAGGGGTTTCCAGAAACCCCGCTCGTCACACCCTGTGGTCAAAGTCCATTGTTATTCGTAACAATAGATCTATTCAATTTACACTTGTTTCAGAAATAGAAACTATGAAGTATAACAATAGAACTGGGGTGTAACTTATCTTATTTTATATATTAAATTGATCATGATATTATTTCACAATTAAGATCTGTGAAATTACTTCTAGTTTTTTGTTTCATATGTTTCATGATATTTGTCTTTTAAAAGAATGATATTTACTTTAATATTTCAGGATATTATTTTCTATTATAATCTGTGAAATTATTTCCCATTATAATACATTTGTTTGGTTTTTTATTTACTTATTTAGCTTATATTCAAATACACTATTTTTAGTACATAGTATTTGCAAAGATTACGTTTTTTTATTAACTATTCAATATTTTAACTTCCCAGATAGAATTTCACGGTAATGGATAATATATCACAGTGAAATATTTTCCTCCGGATGAAAAAAATACAACAACTTCTGGAATATTTCTTCCCCCAGATGATATTTCATCCGGATAGAATTTTGCTTTACATATACACATACTAGTAGAAGATCATAGCATACAATGCTTGAGTTCATCTTATGTATGCCCTCCTCATTCTTAAACATAATCTGTATATCATGTTTATATACAATAAAACATAATACATTATTCTCATATTAACAGGTTCCATTATCATATTACATGTTTCTTCATGCACCATTTCATGTGGGAACACAACCATTTAAATCGTCATTTTACGAACACAATGACAAATACTATGAATGCAATTTGATAAGAGTTTTTTTTATATCTATAAATCAGTTGAACAGAAATTTCTATTTAATATGATATTAAATTTAAAGAAAAAAGAGAAAAAGTAAAACAGGTCATGCATGTCTCTATAATAGGCGGTATACATACATCTGAGTGTGTTATTTTAAGGGCATTTTTAATGAGTTTGTGCTCCATTATTTCATACTTTTCATAATATCAGTCAAATAAATCTTTAAATTATAACTTACCTGTACATCATGTACATTGAGGTATCTATAAACTTACTACTGGCAGAATTTAAATGACATATTTAGTTGACTGACTAATATCAGGTTCCCATGGACATAATACAAATTTCAAGTTATACACTTCAATTCCTTTGAATTGTCTTTATGCTCTATAATTCTATATTTTTTATGACAAAAAGAATTTGCAAAAAGTGCACCTCCAAGCTAAGCATGGCTGGAGGTCTATTAATCATGTTTACATAGCAGCTATAATGGTTTTCGCAACTTAGCAAACTGTGCAACCAACCTATAGCTACCTATGACTGGAGTCAAATCTCCAATCACACTGTCAAATGCTGGCTGCTGTTTACTAAAAAGAAAACAGACCCACCACATATATTATGCATTGATTGATTAATAGGTGCTTAACATTCAGCCTGAAATATTGCATGAATATTCAGGATCATAATGTGATGTCTTATGAATATATATATGGGCTACATTGTGAATTCAATTGTGAATGAGGCTAGCTCAATAGGTAACAAACCTTCACATTGTAGGTAATGATTTATGTACAATTATACTCAGTAATTTTGGCTTGATGGATTTCTTTGAAATTCAAGAAACTGAATCAACATGATCAACATAAACATGATAAATATAAATGTTTTTCTTATTAAATAAAATATAAACAATTAATGCACACAACATATTAATTCAAAATTCAATAAAAAAAAATGTATAATACCTTAGACCATCCAAGATGATCTTCCACTGAGTCACATGATAGAGCAATCAGTTTGACATTTCTTTTCTTAAACTCGGGAACAAGCTTTATCACTGCTCCAAGTTCAGTTGTACAAACAGGGGTATAATCTGCAGGATGGGAAAAAAGAATTGTCCAACTGAAACAAAAAATAGAAAAACATCTAAGACTTGAAACATGTGAAATATCAAGTGCTAATGTCATGAATGTTAGTTATTAACCTACAATTTATTGTCTATATGAGCATTTTCTGACTCAAGACAAAAAACCATAACCCCCCTCACCCCCTTGAAGTTAAATGGTTGCTCCCTTAATTGTAAAATGCATATTGAAATGAAAGTGAGCCTTCAGCATTTTATTTTTATCTTACTGTTTTGATACTATTGAACTTTGAAATTTCTGATTCACTGCCATGGAAAGGGTTCCTAAACATTTTAAATTGGTAAATGATACACATGATTTTAAAAATGCTGCACAGTCCTATATTTTGACCTTTGGAAATCATCTCCAGCAAACAAGTTCTCATGCAAGTTTATAATAGAAGTGGAACGTTTGGCATTGTACACAAAAAAAATGTATGTAAATTAATAGTATTTACTATTTTACACAAGCGCAACGTCCATCATGCTTAAGGTTCATGTGGACCCTTTGGCTAAAATGGCTGCATTTTCACCTCAGAATTTACTCTTTGAGTACAGACAAACCTGCGCATCTGGAAAAGTGTTAAGGCATAGCATGCCCTAGATAAATAAACTTATTATGCATTGTATGTTTTAGAAAATTTAAAACTTAACTGGATTAAGCAGTGCACTTTTTTTCGTCCCTGCAGAAGATGATAAAATTAACAAACAGTTGAGTTTCACTTGATATGGTCCACTCAGGTAAACAGTTTAAATCACCAATTATTGTCAGGTATCTATTGTCCATCTATTATCCATGTCAATCAAAACAGTTCACTTCAATTATTACCTGTGGGGAAGTTCTCAAACCTCTTTCCCAACATAGTTTATTTTGGCACCTTCTGGAGGAATGAAAAAAAGTGCACTGCAAAATCCGGTTAAGTTTTTAATTTTCTAAAATATAAAATATATTTGAATTTTATTTATCTAGGGCATGCTATGCCTTAAAACTTTTCCAGATGCACAGGTTTGTCTGTAATCAGAGTAAATTTTGAGGTGAAAATGCAGCCATTTTAGACGAAGGGTCCACATGAACCTTTAGTTAAGAAATGAGGCATGGAAACCCTCCCCCTTTTTATTGTCTTTATGTATATAAATCAAATTCAATCATATTTGTTTCTTATTTTCCTATATCTAACATGCTCTTGCTCATATAAAAGCATTCTTATGTTTGGAGCAATTCATTTGTACACCTCTACTCTATTTTTCTTTCATACGAAATATTTTCGGTCAATGGGCGTACCATTTTATGTAACGTGTACCGGTAACCGTTCTCTGAATGCTTTTAAATATTAGAACACACGCTTTGTTCAGTTCTCACCTATCTCCAATCCAGTCGTGAAATTGGATATCACCTTGACTTGTCTCAGCCTTGAAATTTGGAAATTCGTCTCCCAAGTTGATGCCCATGCTTGCTTTTCTAGATTTGCCAAAATACCGGAAGTTACGTTCCACCTACCCGTGGCCACGGACCAATAAACCAAGATGTTATCAGTTTAAAGGTAAAAGTTCAATATATATAATTAGCAATATGGGGAAAACTCTATTAATTCTTAGTTTTAAAGAAAAAATGGATAGTGCATTGTTTGGAACCAATTGATATATAAGAATTATGTCAAAGTTCATTGTAGTAAGGATTTGTATAGCCGGTATACAAATGATCACAAATCCTTGATCCTGGCCGGGAACAGTATATCTAACAATATCAATATATATATATGTTCCTGCTTGATCCAAATTAACTTGAATTCACATGTTAAAAATGTTTTACTATTTAAACATACAATAACACATATAAACACATACCAATCAGGAACATATATATTGGATCTTGAACAGCATGCATATAATCTGTTTGTTTTCCTCCGTTCTTCATGGCTTTCTCATTTTAATGTTTCAACCATATTTGTGACTCAGCCAGGTGTTCGGTCTGTGTAGTTGTTATGTGCACATTTTGCTGCTCTTTTCTGTACCTGCTCTATTAACTTTGATTTTACTAAATATTTTGGTTTGTTGCATCCCATACTGTGTATGCATATTCTACTGCAGATCTTATCATGGATACATATGCAGCCACCTTTTATGATAAGCCGTTTTACTATTCATTCTAACTTCAAGATATCTAATAAACTTTATAAGATATATCATATAGTTTATAAGATATCTTATATAGCTTAAGTTTATAAGATATCTTATATAGTTTATTAGGTATCTTATATAGTTTATAAGATATCTTATATACTATTCTTTATATGATATCTTATTATATGAGATATCTTATAAACTATATGAGATATTTTATAAACTATATAATATATCTTATAAAATATATGAGATATCTTATAAAGTATATAAGATATCTTATATAAAAAATATTTATAAGATATCTTATATACTTTATAAAATATCTTATAAAGTATGTAAGATATCTTATAAACTATATGAGGTTTCTATATCTTATATCTCATATGATTTATAAGATATCTTATATAATTTTCTTAAATTATATGAGATATCTTATAAACTATATAAGATATATTATATAAAAAATATTTATGAGATATCTTATATACTTTATAAGATATCTTATAAATTTTAGAAGATATCTTATAAAGTATATAATAAAGTATATAAGATATCTTATAAAAACTAGATTATATAAGATATCTTATATGTTATATGAGATATATTATAAATCATGAGATATCCTGAAGTTTGAATAAATAGTAAAACGGCTTGCCATAAAAGAGAGGCGAAAGATACCAAAGGGACATTCAAACTCATAAGTCGAAAACAAACTGACAACGCCATGGCTAAAAAAGAAAAAGACCAACAGACAAACAATAGTACACAAAACACAACATAGAAAACTAAAGACTGAGCAACACGAACCCTACCAAAAACTGAGGGTGATCTCAGGTGCTCCGGAAGGGTAAGCAGATCCTGCTCCACATGTGGATCCCGTCGTGTTTCTCATGTTAGTACAAACCCGGTAATCAGTCTTATTCGATAGGTCACATTCGGGAACAGGGGACAGGATTGTAGTTACGACATTAAGAACATATCCGCTATCATCTGTGAAACGGATATTCCGTAATGTTCAACCAACTCGTGATGGCGTCCGTAAAATTTACGAAGGGATGATTTCAACTTCACCACTTGGAGCTCTTGGTTTAATAGCTTCCTTGTGAGCAGCAACCCTCTATCAAGGAAATAATGATAGGAAATACAAGACCTGGAGTATCGTATCAACTGGGAGATATATACTCCGAATGCAGACGCTGCTGGAATGTTACTACTTAAAAATGGAAAGTTCATAATTGGGAAGCAGAAATCATCTCTTTTGTTATAAAGTTTTGTTTTCGACCGACCCTCATTGTCAATTTCTAGATGTAAGTCAAGATATGATGCAGACTTATCTGTATCTGTTGTATCCTTTATCTCAAGTTCGATGGGATAGATGTTTTCAACATAATCACCAAATTTTGAATTACTTAGTGAAAGAACATCATCTATGTAGCGGAAAGTAAAGTTAAAGGATACCGCTAACTTTTTTCTTTCTTCCTAAGAATTCCTGTATGAAGGCAGCCTCCTATGAATAAAGGAACAAGTCGGCAAGAAGAGGGGCACAGTTGGTTCCCATGGGAATGCCGATTGTTTGTTGAAAAACACGTCCTCCAAACGTAACAAATTTGTTATCAATCAAGAAATCAAGCATCTTGATAATGTCAGTTTCAGAGAATTTTTTGTTAGAATCAGAGTGATTTTTTACAAAGTAGGATTTATCCCTCCCTAAGACAAGATACTTGTATCTACGTTGGCCATTCTTTTTTATGAAACAAAGCAGGACCAACTCTTTCAATTTGTCTTTTAGTATAACCTTTACAGGTTTTGTACAGCCTATGAGATTTCTTCGGATACATCCTAATGTTCTATTTCCTTTGCCAACAACATTGTCGATGTGTTTATCCCAGGTTAAGTGATTACTGAGTGTTACTCCTAGGTATTTGCTGGCTTCAACTGTCTCTAATGTACGACCGTGTAGATTGCAAGTTGTTGGTATCACTGGTCGGTTTTTTTCTGTGATATTCTTATAAAAAGGAATTTTTTGGCGTTGAAGTTCATTTGCCATTTGTTTCCCCAATCTTCCAATGATGTCATATCTTTCAGAAGAAGGTCACTGTCTGCTTAGTTGGTGATGGTTCGAAAGAGTAGGCTGTCACCGGCAAATAATTGGTATCTGATGTAGTTGCTGTTTCTGGCATCTATTCGATGTAGGCCAGGAACAGTAATGGTCCAAGAACGGTGCCTGGAGTACATCAGAGAGTACTGGTACTTGCGTGGAGACAGCTCCCTCTAAAATAACGCTCAGCTTTCTGTTATGTAGGAAGGAGCAAATCCTCCTGTTGGTTTTAGGATTGAAGACGTAAAATTCCAACTTGTGTAGAAGGCGGTGATGTGGCACCTTGTCAAACGCTTTTGCAAAGTCTAGAAGGTGATATTTACTTGACAGTTCCTTTTTTAATTTTGATGTCGTGGATGGTTACGATAAGTTGGGATTCGCAAGATTGTCTTTTGCGGGATCTGTGTTGTGCTTTATTAAGAATTTTATTTCTGTTGAAGTGGTCGATTATGTTGCTGTGTACAATATGTTCTTAGATCTTGCATGTGATGAATGAAAGAGATACTGATCGAGAATTTTTATTGTTATTATTAATCTGTATGAAGGGATAGCAATCATTCGATATGAAATTGTGTTGTGTGCCTAAAAATCTTTCATGTAAATTTCGAAAACGTGACAATAACACGAACCTGCTTGAAAAAATTAAACTATCACTGGGTAAACTATACTACAGGGAATGTACGTATTTTTCGGAACAAAATAATTTTTCTCCACGGGAGAGGCGTGTTTTTTTTTTCTTAAATAGAATTTTTGCATGATTCTGAATTATTTGAATATCAATTTATTTCAGAGGGTGAAAAAATTGTATGTTAAATTATATCTAAAATAAGTATAAAAAACAAACAAAATATCGGAAAAAATTAAGAAAAGCACGTTGCTGTAAGAGTTCTTGTTTCAATATTCTATTGAAAAATAGTTTGTTTTAAAAATGTTGTAACCATGATAAGTTGAAAAAATTTGTTCATTAAACCTGACAGACAATTGGCCTTATAAGACCAGATCTACAAATAAGTCAAACGGCCAAAATCGTGATTCAATACCTTATTGGAGTCATTGTCCTTTAATAACTTTGTTTACTGATTTATTTCGTTTTTGCGTAATATCTTAAAACTATAATAGATAGATGAAAACTTTAAATAGCACAAATGATCATCAAGACATAATCTACAAATAAGTCTATAGGCCGAAATTGTCAGTCGACCCCTTATTGAAGTTATTGCCCTTTCATGACGATTTTTGCCTAATATATTTAAAACTTTAATAGATAAGTGTAAACTTTAAAAATCAAAAAGGAATCAGCAAGACAAGATCTACAGATAAGTCAAATGGCTGAAATCGTCAGTCGGTCTCTTATTGGAGTTATTGTTCTTAAATAAATTACAAATTGTTCTCTATGTGAGGAGTATTTGCTTTCACGCAGTTTGTATGGACAGAATATAAAATATGGTGGATATATATGAATGAGGCAGCATACTTTAACAATAACTATGATCAGAAAATACATCTATAAGACAAATTACGAAGTTCAACAATAGACGCGTTTTTAAAAATAATTTGCGTATATTATCCTACAAAAGATCTGCATTAACATCGTACTCTTTGGAGGACAACGAGCCACTTTCTAGTTATAATAAACAAAGACAATAATTGGCGAGATTTCTGACTTGAGACAGGTGCATTATACTATGTTGCGGGGCCCCCTCCCCCTCTTCCCCTTTTAAAACCAAGATTTAACAAAAAGGAAGCCAACAAAAGGAAATATTTGAAGGAGGTTTTTTTTACTTTATAAATAACTTTATCCCGGCATATCTCTTATAATGATTTAACCTATAACCTATAACTAACGTCTTACTTCCTAAATACATCTCTGAGTTTGTGTTTAAATGTTAACATTTCACACTAAACATTGTACTGAGTATGAGTACACATAATTCTATGTGCATTTAGAACCATCTGAGAAATGTATACTTCGTAAGAAGAAATCATCAACTTGATAGTTGCTATTTAATTTGTTCACAATGTTTTTAGTTCCGGGTGATTAAGGACTTGCCGTACAGACACCTGCCCATTGTTGAAGAATATTTGTTGCCATCTAAATGTCTATTGGTTATTTGTGTGGTTCGGTTGCTGTCTCGTTAACCTATACCCCACAACTTTTTTATTCGATGAAACCTGAGTATTCAGTATGAAAATGGGCATATCGAACCTGCAGACATAATTATGTTTACTCCGTAAGATGAAGCCGTCAACATGGAACCATCTATATTTCAGGAAAAAGAAAATAACTAGAGGAAAGGTAAACCCATCCCACTTATCATATTTGCCGTGAGTAATTTTAACATATGGAACATACAAATTAACACAGTTATGATATCCTTTAATATTGGATTTATTATAAGTCATTTTAGGTGGTTAAATAAGGAACAAGATACCGAGGAGGAAACAACATAAGTATATATTTATATAGAAGAAATACAGTCAAGTCCATACATGACCGAGAGAATTAAGACAAACCAACCATTGACATCCACATTATCAACAAAACACTACAAACAAAAACTAAATATTGAAATATTATTTTCATTAAATTCATTTATTTTCATTAGCATTTGTTTTAAATTGGAGGTGAGAAAAACGTTGATATTTGGAAGGAGTATTCTTAAAAAATGGTAAAATTCTCCAATCATAATTACATTTATTCTGTACTTTTATATTTACCTAACATGCTTAAAACTTTAAGGAAATCGTGTTTCTATAGATCTTTCTTTATTGACTGTATTAGATAGGAAAAGACAAACAAGCATAAAACAATGAATTTGTTTTCAGATATTTTGTTCAAAATAAAACACTACAATAAAGCCTTTATTTGTTTCCCGATAACCGCACAAAAGAGAAAAACTATTATCATACTTCCTATTAGGCAATTTGTACAAACGCAGATGACAGCAGCTGTTTCTAAACATTTCCTTGTTTTCTGATATTCTATACATCTTTATGTCAAAGATAAGATAATTTGTCGATAACAGTTAACAACACACATACTATTAGAGATCCTGACTGGGTCTTGCTGTAATTTTGCGTTCAACAAAGTTCTAGTCAAAATACATCAGAAAGCCTATAATGGCATTTTGTATAGAAAAGTTCGGAAAGTTCCGTCTGCAAATTCAGGTGATGTAGCCGATGGAAGCTGCATATGGGGAAACCGAATTAATAAAAATACTGCAGATTTGCTAAGGGGCAGTTACTGTAGCTATCATAGTTTATTTGAATCGTCAAATGACATTATGAACTGTATATTAATTCTAAATGTAAAAATGGAGAGGAAGAATGTAATTGTGAAGAACATGTATTTCATTTAATATCTACAATGGTGTGTTACGTTATATTCAGTAATACATGACAAACGAACTTAAGTAGAGAACTTAATAAAATACATAATTATGTTTAAAGATGTGCTGCCTATGATATGTACACATAATAAAATTAAACTAACGGTCTTTAATTTTATTACGAGTTGTATAGTCTGTTTATCTATAAAAGCCATATAAAAATGCAACAACTACCAATCCTATCCCGGCATTTACGTTTAGAATCGTTTTCCACATTGGATTTTCTGTTAAATATTCTCTCGTCTTCGCTTCGTCAAGATGAGGATTCTCTCCACTATCCGCCTCTGGCATTCCACAAATCATATCCAAGATAGTTTTATGACAATGTTGGTCCGTTTCATTGTTATCTTCAGGTTGGTCCTGAATCGTCAGACCTGTAAGCAAATGCAAACCATAAAACTCAATTTTAAACTCTGTTAATAAAACGGATTTTTAAAATTATTTTTTAAGATATATTTTAAATTTTGCTATGTATCTCGATAAATTTCCACAATAAATTGTGATATTTATCTAAAAAAACAAATGCTTTTACTCTCAATCAAACATGCAGAGTATATGAGAAAACTTTTAAAGACGGAAGAGGGAGTATCTTCAGCTGCTGCAAAAATTGTTCAAAAAGCTTCGTGAATGTTTTACCCTAAGGTATACTTGCTGTTCATTCATTTTCACATGTTAGGTAATGAGTAATATGCTCTCACCCTGTTGTCAGTTAACTATGTATAGACTTATATATTTCTTTTTCCACCTACCGATATATTTACTCATACATCTTCCTGACACATCCATCCCCTGAGTAATACAGTTTGTACGCTGCTTCTCTTGCCATTTTCGAGCATTTGGCATCGATATATAACGTTGAATAGACAAACACCAAGCTAGGGAATTGTAGCCTTATCTCTGTGTTTTATCCATACGAAAGAGAGACATTACATATTATTTATTCTTTTTCCCTCAAGATTGGGGAAACAAAAAATAAAATAGTATAAAGGATAGATCTACAAGTATTATACATCACATGAAATACCAGGCAATAACCATGGAGATGTTTGAAAGGAATCGTTCTTTTATTTTTGAGTTTCACCTTAAATGGTTTGTTAATCATCTCTGGTTTTGTTTCTGCCATACGAAGGAGATACATTAATATACTAGTATTACAAATTTTTTTATAAAAAAAAGTTGGGTAACAAAAACAAGAAAGGATAAGTGATGGATGTACACGACTTAAAGACCATGCACATGAAATAATAGGGAATTACCGATATTTGAGAGGAAAAGTGCTCTCTGTCTTTTTTTTTAATCTTAAAAAGTTTCCAACGTAGAAATAAAGAGCTCATATCTTCACTTTCGATACTAATGCTGGTGGACTGTGTAAAAGTTCCCGAGAGTATCATCAGCTCATAGTCAGCGCTTCGGAACTGACATGATAGATAACATTCTAATATAAAATACCCCTTGATAAATTAGGAAATGTTATTTGGAAACTATATTATAAAGTGTCAACTCCCCCTGGAAAAGTTTACTTTATATTAATTTGGCTATCCTTTTTTGGTTGCTTCTGTTCTTATATATCTATTAAAGTTTCTACGTTTTCATATATAACTGGTTTTCAAGTGGTTAAGTTTGAGAGTTTATGATGAAAGTAAATCTAGAAAAGAGCTTAGGACGCTCAAATTTGATAAAAGTGTTAACATGGTTAATTTTATTTACAACCAGATCATAACACATCCTGGTCGGGTTTCTTTTTAGACACACCAGACATGTGTTTACGTCAGAAAGTAAGGCATGTTTGGGATCAGTAACATGTCTGCATGACAATTTACTTCTTGGTTATGTCAATAACCATAGTTTTTTTTATAAGGGTGGGGGGTATATAATAGAAAATATCCGAATATCTTAAGTGGAAATCTGTAAAAATTCTATTTGCTTCAATCTCTTGTCCGAAATACTGGGTAGATTCAAAGAAAAATGTCTCGTGATACGACTTTGTAAACCTCCACGTTGAAAATACCAATATGATCTCGGAACTTCGGTATAAGATTGTACTTTTATAACAAAAAAGTCTCGAGGATAATTATGATCGCGGTTCAAATAAAGGTCAAAGGATCTTTTGATGGATCATAGAATATAAATGCGTTTATAACTGAATATTTCTGCAAATGAGTGAAATAATAACAATTAGTTTTAACCAGAATGTTTTTGATAATTTTATATTACCATTCTGTGACGATGTCGTTTCCTTTTTGGTTTCAGATGCATCTGTTTCAATTGTTTCCTGAACTGTTTCTTTGTGAACATGATCAGCTGGGTGAGGTTTTATTCTCGTCCACCATGTAACACCCTTCAACTTAAAAACAAAATATATCATGTGAGAATTAAAAAAAATAATCTAGTACTTTATTACATGATATTTATACTAACTACACGAATAACAGTTCAATTTTAAGATTTTAGAATTCCAAATCTTTTGCCATTATATATTAATTTTGTGAAATAAATTATATATGTAGGACTCTGAACCGCGATGGCACTCCGAACTGCGATGGTTACGCTGATGTGCGATGGTTAGACGCTGAAGTGCGATGGTGGCATTGTTGTACGCTATCTTGTTGATAGCTACGCCCAAGTACGATGGTGGTTACGTTGAAGTGCGATGGGTTACACAAACTATTTTTATAGTGTTTTTCTTGTTCACATGTCGATGAAGAAGTTAATATGTTTGCTAGAAGCAGCTTTCTTGTTTATTACGTAAATCATGGAGAATATTTCCAGTCATAATTGTATCGTTGTATTTTACTTTGGACAAAAAGAAGTCAACATTCATACAATCGTTCCAGCCGCTACATGCAAAGATTTTCTTTTCATTAAAACCAGTGCTTATTTCAATGACTGAAAGAGGGACGAAAGATACCAGAGGGACAGTCAAACTCATAGATCGAAAACAAACTGACAACGCCATGGCCAAAAATAAAAAGACAAACAGACAATAATAGTACAGATGACACAACATAGAAAACTAAAGACTAAGCAACACGAACCCCACCAAAAACTGGGGGTGATCTCAGGTGCTCCGGAAGGGTAGGCAGATCCTGCTCCACATGTGGCACCCGTCGTGTTCCTTATGTTATTTCAAATCCGGTAAATAGTCTAATTTGGTAGGTCACATTCGTGAAAAGGGAAGGGTATTGTAGTTACGACATAAGGAACATATCCGATATCATCTGTGAAACGGTTAATTATTCCATAACGGTCAACCAACTCGTGATGGCGTCCGTAAAATTTACGAAGGGATGATTTCAACTTCACCATTTGGAACTCTTGGTTTAATAGCTTCCTTGTGAGCAGCAATCCTCTATCAAGGAAATGTGACAGCAGTTTTAAACGCAATATAATAAGTGCCTAATAAACTTATCACCGTATGTGGTTTTTACCAGTGCAACTAGAGAAAATATGGAATGTTTTTGTATATCCAACATGAATACAAGTAAATACATTTTTAATATTACCGGTAAAGTGAAATAATTAGTAAACAGGGGAAATTTAGCCTCTCTGTAGCAGATCCTTTTTCGAAATTTACAGAAGTTTTATTTTTTTTACGTACGATGGTGCTTGGAAATATCTAACTACATACAGGTCCACAGACAGACTCTCCGTCTTAGGATATTACGGTAAACGTAGAACTCATGAGAGCCGAGAGCTGAGATTACTATAACACATATAGTAATCTCAGATGAGGGGAACAAAGTAAAGATAAACTGTTAACTCAGAATAATGTCCTCATGCAGCAAATTTAAAGAGAACGAGCTCTCATTCAGTATGAAACTATAACTAAGGACATATATAGACCATCGCACTTCAGCGAACAGACCATCGCACTTCAGCGTCCCCATCGCACCTCCGAGTCCTACATATATATTTCAGTATATAGAATTATGAATAAATAGACATATTTATTCCCATAGTATCAGTTTTCATTTGCTGCAAATTTACCAAGAATGTCAATATCATTTAACTGGTACATGAATAGTATTGTTACATGTAAGAAATATTTCATCTTCAGTATGATTTTTTTTAATGTTTATTTAGCAACTAATATTTCATTTTCATGCATATAATTTATATTCTTCAAAGAATGTAGAAGTTTATTTTTTTTATGATTTTTTATTGGCCCTTTGAATTCAAAATCACAACGCATTATCCATTAGTCTTTGAATATTTATTTAGTATTTATTTTCCTTAAATTGTGTTTTTGATATTTTCCTTTGAACTTCAAAATTATTTCATTTTATGCAACCTGTAAACACTCTCATTTTGTGCATTGTGCCAAGGTTTTCCAATAGACATTTTGCTACAAGATTCTAATAATATTAGTACAAAAGATATTAAAAATGGTTCTTGTCAGTGAGATATCTTTTTTTTTCTGGCCTTGTCATATCTCTTAATTTCACCAAACACAATGATGAATTTAGGTCATATATATATGAATGTCAACATGTTTATGGTGTCATAGTAACATCACAACTGATATTTCTATACTAAAGTGCCATAGTGGGGGGGGGGGGGGCTATGGATTTTTTTTTGAAAAAAAAGTTTGTTTTTAGAAAATGTGGAAAAAAATAATTTGACTCGTCACTGAAGAAAATTTACCAACTGAAAGAGAAGAAAGAACTCTGACTGAAAAGTGACAGGGGAGTATAAGGTTTGCTTCTATTATTAAATCATTTAATAGCATATATAGTTGCATCAAATGTATATAGTATCACTATCAGTATAAAATTTCTATGATTTATAATATCAGCAACCCAAAAGTCATCTACCTAGGAGTTCGACCATACTCAATATGAAATTGCATGCGTGTAGTTAGTTTGAAGTTCAACTAAAACTATTCAGTTTTCAGCGACACAAAGGCAAAATTATAAATGACAGATGAAATAAAAAAAAAATGGTGAATATTAAGTAAAAGAGACAACATTCCAATGGGGATAAAATATCACCAGGGTATCCATGGTTCTTACATCAACGGCCATGGCACCTTCATACCAAAGGGTAAGCTGAAGATGGTCCCTATTCTTTAAACCGAATTATATACTGGTTCACCGAATATTTACATGTCCTTACAAGTTTATAAACTGAAATTGAATTGAAAAGCCATACCTGACTTGGGGTGTACAAAATATACATGTGAAAGATGCTATGCAGTAGTGAGATGATAAAAAAAAGATTGTTTTCAATAGATGGTGAAAAAAATTATTTGTTTTTTGATTGGCCCTGGAAAAAAAGTTATTTTGGCTCAATGTAAAAAAAAGTTTGTCTCAGAAAAAAATCCATAGTCCATAAAATGTTATGTCGTGAGAAATATATATCAATAACAAATCAAGAATATCGAAAATTTGCGTTAACGCATGCGGAAGAATATTTCAAGAACGTTTTGTAACAAACGCGGGAAAATATGAATGCCTACCCAAATCCAATCTATTAGAAAAACGAATTATGATAGAAGAGTGTTCACCATGCACTTGCACTGCACTATCATTAGAATAGCAGAATAGAATGATATACAAATGGATGAAAATTATATATAACTGTTATACAAATATTAATATAATAATATATAACAACAAACCAGAGTATACTGATAACAAATGATTATATCACTACAATATGATAGTTATAACGATGAGGTTGAATTCCTTGTCATTTATTCATCATCCACATAGGAACTTGTCTCAGAAAAAATATATCTATGTTCCTTAACCTAACTTTCAGGTATAGAGATGTGATTTTTTTTCTGAGACAAGTGCTTGTGACCATCCACCAGAACTTGCGGTCATCTGATGTTCATGTACTTCAGTACTTTGATTTTATATATTAGATCTAAGCAAACAGGTAAATATACAAAACACAAAGATTTAAAGAATGAGAGGATCTAACATTTGATCTGTTTAAACGCCAGAGTGGTTATCATTCGCTACTCCGTTAGTCGCTTTGATATGGATTATATTGTACACACAGGCCAGAAGTGAATATAGTGACGAGTCATGAACAAGTACAGGATTAAACTAGATGTGTCGGAACGACACGAATGGTCCCGCTCGCAAAAAAAGCTTGACCCATTTTTAGGAGTGGAAATTTGAGAATGAAATATTAAAAAGAAGATGTGGTATGATTGTCAATGAGACAACTCTCCACAAGAGACCAAATGACAGAAATTAACAACTATGGGTCACCGTATGGCCTTCAACAATGAGCAAAGCCCATACCGAACAGTCAGCTATAAAAGGCCCCGAAATGACCATGTAAAACAATTCAAACGAGAAAACGAACGGCCTCATTTATGTACAAAAAATGAACGAAAAACAAATATGTAACACATAAACATACGACAACCACTGAATTACAGGCTCCTGACTTGGGACAGGCACATACATACAGAATGTGGCGGGGTTAAACGTGTTAGCGGGACCCCCCCCCCCCCCTAACCTGGGACAGTGGTGTAACAGTACAACATAAGAACGAACTATAAAAATCAGTTGAAAGAGGCTTAACTCATCAGATGGATAAAAATACAAATACTACAATTACAATTGGACGTAACTCATCATATTAGACTAACATACTAAACACAGCTAAATACGTGAAGGCGTTTAGAAAAAAGTTGGTATAACTGTTATTTTCACAAAATTTTCAAAGTCCAAAGCCCTTAATTTCGGCAAAAAGCAGCAGAGCGGAACCAAACGTGAACTCGATCTGTAACTCATCACTGTAGACTCACATACTAATAATCAGCTCAATATGTGAAGGCGTTTAAAAAATAAAGTCCGTATACCTGTTCGAATGACAGAATGACAGATAAGTATGGAACGCCACAGCTGTCTTATGTGGAACTCTGATATTACTTTATGTTGTTTTATTATTACTTGATGATATTTTGTCTTTACTTCATATGGTTTTGACATTACGTAATGATGTTTTGATATAACTCAATGTGGAATAGTCATTACTTAATGATATTTCGATATTACACGATATGGTTTCGTATTGACTTGATATGGTTTTGTCATTACTCGATGTGGTTTCATCATTATTTAATGTGGTTGTGTCATTAGTCAATGTGGTTTTAACATTACTTGATGTGAATGTGACTTAACGTTATGTAGTTGTTTCATTACATGATGTGGTTTTGTTATTTCGTAATATGGTTTTAACATTACGTAATGATGTTTCAAAATTTGACGATTTTACACTACATGATGTGTTTGTTTCATTATTTGATGTGGTCCTGTCATTCTTTGATGTGGTTATCCCATTACTTGATGAGGTAAAATCACGTGACCAATTCGGAAAAAAATATGTTCTATTTTTAAACAGATTTCAATATGTCATTTGTTTAATGTGCTTTGGATGGGTATCGCTATCCATTGAGTTAAAATTAAAATTAAAGTTCGAGTGGTTGTTCAGAGTTATTTGGTATGAAAAAGGGGAACGGCAGACAATAATAAGAAAAAAAGTATTAAAAAGTTTACAGTATTTCGGACATAGTTGGGATATCTCCAAACCACTTGGTCTTGTTGTTTTTATACGACCGCAAAAAAATTTTGCGGTCGTATATTGGTATGACGTTGGCGTCGTCGTCCGGCGTCGTCGTCGTCGTCCGAAGACACATTGGTTTTCGCACTCTAACTTTAGTTTAAGTGAATGGATCTCTATGAAATTTTACCATAAGGTGCAATACCACAAAAGGAAGGTTGGGATTGATTTTGGGGGTTATGATACCAACAGTTAAGGAATTAGGGACCAAAAAGGGGTCAAAACTAAGCATTTTTGTAACTTCCAGACATAACTTGTGTGTTAGTGTATGGATCTCTCTGGCATTGTACCACAAGGTTCCATATCACAAAGGAAAAGCTGGGATTGATTTTGGGGGTAATTGCCTCCAAATTTTAGGAATTAAGGGTCAAAAAGGGACAAAAAGCAAACATTTTTCTAGTTTCGTGACAATAACTTGTGTGAAAGTGTATGGATCTTTCTGAAATTGTACTACAAGGTTCCATATCACAAAAGAAAAGCTGGGTTTGACTTTGGGGGTAATTGCCCTAAACGTTTAGGAATTTGGGACCAAAAAGGGGCCAAAAAACAAGCATTTTCTAGTTTCCAGACAATAACTTGTGTTCAAGTGTATGGATCTCTCTGAAATTGTACTGCAAGGTACCATACCACAAAGGGAAGGCTGGGATTGAGTTTGGGGGTGATGAATCATAAGGGGGGTCAAAAAATTTGAGGGGGATTTTTTTTCCTTTTTTTTCTTTAAAATTTGCCATTTTAAATTGGTTATTTCTGATTTATATATAAAAGCAAATAATAATGATATAGTTTGAATAAGTAAATTAAAATTTTTTAAGTTCTTAGACCACATTCATTCTGTGTCAGAAACCTATGCTGTGTCAAATATTTAATCACAATCCAAATTCAGTGCTGTATCGAGCTTGAATGTTGTGTCCATACTTGCCCAAACTGTTCAGGGTTCGATCTCTGCGGTCGTATCAAGCTGCGCCCAGTGGAGCATTTTATTATCTTAAGTTCTCAAACGGAAGCAGTAATTTTTTGTAATAAATTTGTAAAATATTCCACGGAACCCTGTGTCTCGCCTGATATTGCTGCTGCAAGTGTAAAAGCGTCATGTCGATCGGCTGTACATTTATCTATACATTTATCGATAAAAACAAAATTAAAAAAGATATGTTTTTCTGTAGATGTTTTTTTCTTGAAATTGAGGAATAACTCCTATACAAGTTTCAAAACACTTCATGGAGGTTTACAAATTTAGCATGTCAAAACAGGTTAATTCGGTTTTATTTAACTAAAACAAAACTGTATGGTTTTCAACAATAAGCAAAACCTATACCCTATAGTAAGCTATAAAAGGTCCCGAAATGGAAAATGTAAAAAACTAGAAACCTAACGATCTATAGATATATAGATACTTTATTCTCTAAAAACTAATTACAAGTTTACAGAGAAACATACAATATAAATACAGATACAATAGTTGAGGTAAACAAATACAGTATGATATTCTAAAAGTATAAAATTATGATGGCATACATGTTTAGTAACATGTATAATGAAAGGTTAAACTCAATAGAAATTAAAAAAAATGGAGATGGAGACGCTGACGCCACTATCGACGACGAAATATAGGTTTGTTGTGTCTCACTGCCGCTACATTGATGTCGCAGGCTCGACACAAATCAAAAGACTTGAACTTTATTGTTAACAAATGAAACACTTCAAATCAACTCACACTAAAGTTACAGGGAAACGGGGGGAGGGGGCTCGGACTTAGCGACAAAGCATAAATACTATAAAATAAGAATTCTCCGAGTTTTTTTTTAGCGTAAATGATCATTTGAACTTATATGAATATCAATCTTTTATTTGTAATCAATTGAATTCCCTGATCTACCTCGCACTAATTGAAAAATAAACTTTTTGGAATATCTGTTTCACATGTGACGACGGACATGTTCCAGTGGTCGTAACCATAATACTGTCATCTTTTCCTTGAATGTGAACTACCAAATAAAACCAAATCACTGGGTTTGTACTTTCTCGAATAACACGACGGGTGCCTTTCTGGAGCATCCGAGATCACCCCGATGGATTTATATTACCCAGTCATACCGATATATTGAGTCAGCCAAATGAAACTGTTTGGTATGCCACCGCAACTGAAAGTTGGGGGGCATATTATTTTACCCCTGCCCGTCCGTCCGTCCGTCTGTCCGTCCAATTATAGATATATAGTTATTCCGCATAACTCCTCCTACAGTTTGAATCCTAGGAAGTTTTCTCTTTACTGTCTGTTTGTACATATATTGAAGGTGTGCATGTGGTCAGGGTTTAATGTTCATTAATATTTGCTCTTTTGGGAGATAGTTGAACTTTTCTTTTTGTAATTTTTTGGGAAATTTACTTGCATAAGAAGAGCGTTTCCAGATAATTCCTCCTACAGTTTGAATGCTAGGAAGCTTTCACTCTGCTGGCTGTTTGTACAATTTTTAAAGGTGTGCATGTGGTCTGGGTTTTTATTTTTATTATCTTTTGTTCTTTTGGGAGATAATTGATCTTTTTTTTTTTGTCATTTTTGGGGTATAAGCGGTTAATTTAAATGAGTTGAGTGCGGGGGCATCACTTTGTCTAGTTTACATTTTTTTCTCGTTTTGTGCTGTTACACAACTGTAACAGTCCGATGTAAGGTTAGGATTTAGCGCTCACATACATGGTAAACTCCGCCACAGGTCTTTATGTACCTGCCCCAAGTCAGGAGCATGAAGTTCAATTGTTGTCGTTGTATAAATGGGTGTCATTTTTTTTGTAGATTGTTTAAATATAAATAAGACCGTTTGTTTTGTCGTTTGAATTTTTTCACATGGTGCATGGTGGCCTGTTGTAGCTGACTATACGGTGTGTTGAAGGCTGTACGGTTGTCTATATATGATTTCTTACACCCACTGCATTTAAACTCTGGTGGATAGTTGTCTCATTGTCAATCACACCACATCTAACTTTATTTCAACTTCTATGTTGCGTTTTGTATACTGTAACATAGTTTATCTTTTGTACGCATACCCCGGAGCCCTCTTTTCGGAAGCCCGAGCAAAAGTCCTTGTTCCGCGATAGAAAATTTAATTACGAACTCATATAAGATAGCTCAAATTTCAACTCAAAATCTTAATTAATCTGAATGAGACTTAAATTCGAATCTTACTCAAACTCAAAAAGTGACTCAAATCTAATGTTGTAACTAGAACGCGACCTTTAAATGTGACTCAAACTCGAAGTCCAACTCGAAACTCAATGCTAACTAAAACTTTAATTCTTATAATGACTTGAATTCGAAATCGAAGACTAATTCAAAGTATAACTCAAACAGTAACCCGAACTTTAATTTGAACTCTAATTCGATGGATGGCCACACTCATCCAAGGCACATACAACATGGAAATCTATCTAAAAATAGAACAGGTTTTTCCGAATTGGTCACGTGATTTTACCTCATCAAGTAATGGGATATAACCACATCAAAGAATGACAGGACCACATTAAAGAATGAAACAAACACATCATGTAGTGTAAAATCGTCAAATTTTGAAACATCATTACGTAATGTTAAAACCATATAAATAATAGGCAGATCATCATTACAAAATAACAAAACCACATCATGTAATGAAACAACTACATAACGTTAAGTCACATTCACATCAAGTAATGTTAAAACCACATTGACTAATGACACAACCACATTAAATAATGGTGAACCACATCGAGTAATGACAAAACCATATTGAGTAATTAACAACTATATATCAAATCAATACGAAACCATATCGTGTAATATCGAAATATCATTAAGTAATGACTATTCCATATTGAGTTATATCAAAACATCATTACGTAATGTCAAAACCATATTGAGTAAAGACAAACTATCATCAAGTTATAATAAAACAACATAAAGTAATATCAGAGTTCCACATAAGATAGCTGTGGCGTTCCATAGATAAGGGTAAAACTCTGTGGTCCCGATAACTCGAATAATTCAATCCCTCTCCGTGTCCGAATTTCTCCAGCAAATTAATGCAGGCATCGTAGATCAGCGGAATATAACGACTGAATTATTCGGGTTATGGCCCCGACAATTTTGTTGCTGGGCCATAACATATCTATCTTCATCTGTGACAAATATTCCGCAACTTTCAACAATCTTTAAATGTCGAATTCATAACTTGATTATCCATAGATAAATACCGTAATTGGTACCAATTAACTTCTGCCACGAAGTTGACTCTGAAAGATATTAAAACTGAATACACTGAGGTGCTGCTCAAATAAAGCTGCATTCTAAAATTTCACCACTCTTAATTTCTAGGTGTAGGTAAATATTTGTGGGCCAAAGATTGGCTGCTGTTGTTGATTTTTTTCTAAAAGCCGTTACTCCTATAGCTATTCAGTACATGTACATGTAAGTTCATGTATAAGTGTATTCTGTTAAGTCAAATATTGAACTAAATAAATATATATGCTTACCTCCTCTTCAGATTGGGGTGACGTTAACAAACTTATCACTACCATTGCAATGGACGTAATAATTACATTAAGACTTCCAAAATAGGTATAATGGACATCTAATAGTATTGAAGGCCTTGTTTCAGGATCTCCACAGTCCGGGGCAGGATATGCCAAATCTATTGCCATTCGTATTATGCCAATGGTATGTCCAATAGCTATACCATAAAAGGCACCCTGCAATTGAAGGAAGTGATGTATACTTATCAAATTAAATGTACTATTTCCTTAAAAATATCCAACGACTGCTATACGGTGATGGTCATGATATAAACGTACTAGGATATCCACTTCTAAGCTTAAGATATGTTTCTCTTATTCCTTATTAGGAATGATAAAGTCCAATTTTTTTTATATAAAAGAAGGCTTGTGATCATCAACACTACATAGGCTCAACGAGAACAGTTAAACCGTCAAACTGAAATTTTGATTGTGTGATATTCAACCGAACTTTGAGTTCGGTTTGCATATCACTTGGTAGCATTAAGTTATAAATACTTTCCATTGCTTGTGTAAATAAATTTTGTTCTGAATATCCATAGAGTTCTGAAAAATCAACCAACGAACCATCAAAATCATATTGTAATCGGCATACTTACGAAATTTTAGCTGCCTATGCGTTATTACATAGTATTGTCTTTTGAAGTTTATTTGTATATTTTGCTATTATATGGTATACTAATAAAATAAAAAATGTCATTATTTTCTTCATATCTATATCAATATTGTAAACTAATCGTACAACAAACACAAATGCCTAAATGTACACATTGTTAATATTTCTTCACGTTTTACCAGTGTTAAAAAAATACCAAGCTCTTTTTTTTTTGGTGTCAGTAAATTATGTAGTATTAAACGTACCACTGATTTTAAGGTAATACCTTCTTGTATATTGATTCGTTTTTACTCGATAACGGGAAAAAAAGTATGTAAAAATATATGAATATAAAATCAAAATACAAAGCAAAATAATTTAATTTCTAATCAGATTGAGAGACTTACATATTCATTAGTTCGCTTCCAAAAAACACCAAGAACGAACAAGGCTCCGATTGGTGTTCCAAGGTATCCTTGAACCGCTTGTATATAGTTGAAGAGTTGTCCGCCTTGAGATGAGCGTACTAAAGGTATCCATGCAATACTTACTCCGCATAGTACTATGATAAATAGTCTGTAAATAAAATATAAGATGACGAGAACTGGCATCCTCATACAATATAAACAATAATACAAATTTGAATAGAATTTCATATTTTCTTGTTATAAATACATTGTAACATCAAACATTCTTATTTGCTATAGTTTATAAATCAACTTGATTAAAAGCATAAATTTGAGAATAAAGATCAGATAAATTAAATATGTCAACAGAGTATAGTTCCCTCGAGAGCCCGCACAATACGGGTACGAAGGATTGCTTTCTTATCGTTTAAGATGTAAAAAAAAATATTGAAATATTTACAAGTTAATCGATTAAACATATATGCATGTAAATAGAATTATACTGATACATATTATAAGCAATCAATAGCATTGATATATTTTGCGATATATTTAAAGATTATTTACCACATATTGGTAGTGCCATATGCTTGTAACTGATTACTCAGTCTGGTTTACAAACAGATTGTCTCAACCACATTTAGAAAATTTTTGAAACTTTTGGATACCAATGCTCTTTAACTTCTTTATTGATTTGGCCTTTCAACTGATTCGATTGCCACTTTTGAGTCATATATAGAAGAAACGGCGTCTGGCGCATTATATAAAAACCTGTTATCTTTGATGAGTTTGTTTTACTCGATGTAAAAGTATCCAGTTAACTTCGTGACATAACGAAAAAAAAACCCCGGATGCTTTAGAATGTAGACTCATTGTAACTGTTACATTATACAATTGAACGCTCAACTAACTCGTAATGAGAGGTCAGACATATTTTGGAGGCATATCATATATTTTACTGTACCGGTCTCGAATACCTGTCTGAGCAATTTGTCGGTTAAAAGTCTTTAACATTAAACATATAATAAGTGCAGGAAATTCTGGATTTACCATCCGTATTATAGATAACAAATTGACTGGAATATTGGTTTTCTTCGTACGCGATCAAAATTAAATCTTCGAAAGACGAACTTTGATAATTGTTATGCTTTAACCGATCATATATTGAATACAAATAATTCTTTATGATAAATTAAGGCGACAGTAGTTTACCGATGTTCAAATCTCGTAAATCGATTAAGAAGAGATAAATTAATTAATGCATACAAACTGAGCGAATCGCATGAACTCTTAAAGGAGCGAGAACAGATGCGTCGACAGGGTAAGCGTCTCTTGCTATGCATGCATCACCCGCAATACAAATCCACACTCAGTCATAATGACACAATCGGGAATTGGACATAATCGGTAAAATTACAGATCAGTTATTTAAAAGTTCAACGACCGCGAAAGCATGTTGCTGATGAGTTTAGATACCGACACGTCGTATTGGTTAACCAATTCGTGATGGCGACCGTAAAACTCATATAGCGTCAATTTCAGTTGTTCTTCCTTATAACTCTGGTATCTAAGGACGTACATTTTAAAAACATTAGTACATACATACCGACCGACTATGAGTAGTTCCCTTTCGTGTGCGTTAGGTCGTATACGTCTCCACAGATCCATAGTAAACACAGTGCTAGAACTGTTGAAGATGGAGGTTAGTGAACTCATGATAGCAGATAACATTACCGCCATCATCAAACCTCGCAATCCTAAACATAGACACTTATACAATAAGTTAATATTTATGCTGAACAATGTGCAGAAACAATTTAATATTTAATAGTACCTTAAATATATAAAGTAGAATTTCAAAGACCGACAAAAATATTATTGTTCTTTGTTCCTTTTGAATTTGATTTTGATTTTCAAGATATTGCTAGAACTTTAGTCAATTAGAAATAACATTCTTCTACCGGTTCACAAATGTATTTGTTTTGAAATTTGAAATGTATTTCAGTTTTAAAAAATTTGCTCCTCGATTAAAAGACAAACTACTGTACAGAGCTATAAGCAAACAAACGACAATTGTCCTTTTCGAAGCACCATCAGTGTTATTCAGAGCCATGGCGTTGTCAGGCAATTTTTAGACTTATGAGTTTGAATGTCCCTTCGGTATCTTTCGCCTCTCTTTTAATGTATATTGTGAAATTACTTGAGGAATGATACGATAAAAAAGATTCTTTGACTAAGGAACTTTGAACCTTATCTTATCTTCATCGGAAACAATATAACAAGTTGCTTTAAAAAAAAAAAAAGATAATACGTGAACCTTAGAACTTTTTTATTCTAATTATTAATTCAACTGAATAAGAAAGTATATATCAGTGTTATCTTAGCCATATATGTGGAGGATAATATTTTCTTTTTATTGTAAATCATTACAATTTTGGCATGTTGAGAGAAGTGTTAAATATAAAGCAAGGAGAGAAAAAAAAAAGATTCCCAGACGTATAATTTCTTAAAGAATAATAATAATTCAAAACATGGAGGACACATGTACCTTCTTCCAAAAATTCATAAAATTAATCTAGAAATAATAAATGAGGCATTGTGAACTGGTCAGCTAGCAGGACACATTAATGTTCGTTACCGACCAATCATCAATAAGTGTAACTCTCCCGCGAGAGATACTTACTTGATCTAATTATGAATATAAAAAAGAAGATGTGGTATGATTGCCAAGGTGACAACTCTCCACAAGAGACCAAATGACACAGAAATTAACAACTATAGGTCACCGTATGGCCTTCAACAATGAGCAAAGCCCATACCGCATAGTCAGCTATAAAAGGCCCCGAAATGACAAATGTAAAACAATTCAAACGAGAAAATTAACGGCCTAATTTATGTACAAAAAATGAACGAAAAACAAATATGTAACACATCAACAAACGACAACCACTGAATAACAGGCTCCTGACTTGGGACAGGCACAGAATGTGGCGGGGTTAAACATGTTAGCGGGGTGCCAACCCTCCCCCTTACCTGGGACAGTGGTGTAACAGTACAACAGAAGAACGAACTATACAAATCAGTTGAAAAAGGCTTAACTCATCAGATGGATACAAACAGAAATACTACACAGAGTGGACGTGGCCGTGTACTTGTATATCCCAACAACAAATAGACACTAAGTACAGATCTGAGAGTACTCGCAGTTACTGACAGCTAGTTCAAAGCCACCAACAACTGATTAAAAAAATCATGCATCTAAGACTAAATTATCAATTAGTACACATCCAACATCCAATTATTGAAGAGGCATAACTTTTACATTCAAGATACAAAAAAATTCATTAATAAAATAGTCACACGAGGTAAAAAAGTATGCATTCCTATTGCCTATGATGTACGTCAATGTACACAAATATGATGATTGATAATTTAGAAAAAAAATGTTATCAATGCATTAGAATTTATTGACACACAGGAGAATATACTTTAAAGATTCTCAACAAAATAGATTTAACTGCATTTGTTAAATTAGTTCTTAGAAACAATGAATTTGAGTTTAATGGACTGTTATACAAACACACAATAGGAGCGCCCATTGTCACCAACATGCACAGATCTGCATCTATCTGCCCTATTCATTAAAATCTTTGATAAGTTCCAATGGAGAGAAAAACTTCAAATTACACTGTCAATAGGGATGACGGTTTTATGGTCTTCACAGGCAAATTAGAGCAAGTTGAAGATTTCTTTAACCTTGCAAACGCAATTGACCATCTACTTAAGAATATGAGGTGTCGACATCTAGTATGGCCTATTTAGAGGGTGGTGAAGTGTTGTTTTCGTGCAACGTTTTCGGCCTTTTTATTTCACGTGTTTCCGTGTTTCGACGTTTTATTTCTCGTTTTCTCGTGTTTGGTTCGATGTGCGTGCTTCGTGTTTTCCCTTAACTATTTTCCGTGTTTCGTGTCGGTACTCTTATTTTCTCGTGCTTGTCCCGCATTTGATTAAAAAGTAAACATGAACTTATTCAAAGTCGCCCCAAATATTGCTTTAAATTATAGGCAGTTGCTATTTGTCCGGCTAGCCGGACGAATAGTACCAGGACTATTTGTCCGGCCAATACAATGCGCATGTCACTATTTGTGTGTGTGTGTGCATGTAATATTATCTTCATCAGCACCAGGGGGTTGCAAATTATATATATGGACATTTAAAAAGCAATGTTTTGCAATCTTTAATTGTTAGGCCCCAATATTGTTACTGGTAATTGAAATTGTTGTTTTCTTCATATAATTATAGTCCAATGTGGACAACGTATATAATTTGAAAATTTTTTCATACATATTCCATATTTATTTCTTTATCTATGGCTTCACATTGTAAGAAGAGGGAAGAAATTACTTATAAAACAAACTTGGGTCGTGATTGACTCATGCATTTTAGGTTAACGTAAGGATTTGGTCTAGTTGAAAAAGATACAAAATTGTTATGGCTGAAGCTGTCAAACAGAATTATAGACCCCCTTAACATAAAGTTATCCATATTTTGAGTGAGAGTTGGTAGATGTTTCTATAATGTTTTCCCCAAAAAGTAAACAACACTGTAAAAATCTTATTAGGAAATCCCAGGTGGGATTTTTCTTTTTATTTGCATTTATTGTTCTAACTGAGAAATACACTACGTGAGGGGGTCGGGTGACACATGGTTTTCCTTTTTCCAAATCCCTCTATTTTCTTTTTTCCCCAGATCCAACCTTTGTTGTCCCCTATATTCCATATCCCCACTTTTTACAACCTATATCCCACATCCACACCTTTTATATCCCACTTTTCCTTGTGATTTCTCTAATTTTTGAGTTCCTTTTATAAAATAAGATCTTTCTTTGAAGTTCATACTATCGTATTCGCTTGCCAAATTCTGAAACTGAAAAATCACAAATATTGATATCGCTGTTTTCAGCCATGATCTCAAAATTGTAAATCAGTGATCGGATTACACGCGATCCCCTAGTTCTGTTGAAGATAATATGACACGCACTTCCGCACGCACATAAAGTGACATGCGCATTGCCATGGCCGGACAAATAGTCCTAGCACTATTCGTCCGGCTAGCCGGACGAATAGCCAATCCGTAAATTATAAACTAATTAGCTGTTCCCAAGATATTTATTAATAGCCTATCGTATTACTACGATAAATCGGATGCAACTAACGGACGCTAAAAGGTGACCACATGCAGGGTCGCCATGTCCATTTATAATGACTGCATGATCTCCAAGAACGACTGAGTAATAACTTTTGGTTCTTTTTTCCTAAATATTTACGATTTTATTCCTTGGCTTCGTTTTTCCAGTATCAATATTTACCAATCACTAGCGCACATCAAAAACACACATAAATTTAAGAGCATTACAGTGTGTGAATAATATAAGAAATTTCTACTTCTACCACTAAGTGACCACCGTCATTTGGTTGACTACCCTGTCACTGTTTGGTGTGCGCTTGCATACTTAACAAGTCCAAATATAATGTTAACAGAAAGGAAATAATTTGTGCTGTACATAACATTTATACATGGTGCAAATAAAAACATGGGACTTGAAATTTAATGTGCATGCAGTAGTCTCTTGAACGAGTCAAGACTTTCTGAAGCGGTCACTGAAATAATAGTAACATCGATGAATAAAATAAACATTTAATTAACTTACAAGATAACTTAATTGATCGAGAATACTGTGAAAAGGAAACAGTAAAAGTTGTAAAAATGTATTAAATCTTGACCATTTAACTTTCACTTGTTTATCAAAGGGTACAACTGTCAACTTTGTTCGAGTCAGTAAACCCTTGCAATGCATAAAATGTAGCTTTCCAATAAATATACATGTTTTAAAAGGATCTATAGATTGTTTATTATCATATATCAGATAAGTGAATTAGCGATCTGTGAAAATTCTTTATCGCCATGTTTTAAATATCTTAGATACACCGTATGGAGGTGCTCTTAATTGCTGGAAGCTAATACAGATAAGATGAATATGTGTTCCGAATGAACAATAATTTAGCTTCCGAATATTCCTCCATAGACTATATTTCTAACTAATAAATATGCGTGAACCCTCAGGGGTTCACGCAATTAGGAATTGAATGCTTCTTTTTGTAACTTTACTGGGGTGTAAACGCTATGATCGAAGCACAATTGTATAAAGCCACGGTGGTGTTTCACATTAAAAATGTGCGCAGTCATTGCTTTTACAGCCCTTAAAAATAACAAAAAGAAGCATTCAATTCTTATAATTACATGTTTATGCAACAACCATGCAGTAACGAGTTTAATCAAATTTTTCGTTTATTTTCTTATGTTTATGTGACGTTGCATAAAAAGCACGTGCTCTCAATAATGTTACATTTTATTAGGAAATAAAATAATTTGGAATGCCTCGCGACTGATGTCTGCCAATCAACATTACGAATTATTGTGAAACAGATATGTTATGTAATTATTGCTAAATAAAGTTACCATATGGCATCAGTTCCAACACCAACTTGGGATATGCTATATTGGAACAGCCCACTGGATTCTCACATATCTCTTGGCATTCTGTTGGATCAACACAACCAACTTCATCTTCAATGCAATTCAATTTAAAACTTTATTGCCATGTGAATCAACTGATATGATTTGTGACAAAATAAACAAAACATAGTATAACAAATATGTATATATGACAAGAAAATTACAAAATAACCGAAGAGAATGTTCATTCCTATATTGTTCTTTAAGTTATAAAGTAGAGGATTTCACATACCCAACAACAATTAAACCAAGCTATACTGTATAAGTTATAAAAAGTGCTTATTATCAATGAGAATTGCGGTTACAGTAACATTTTGTCACTCCATGTCCAAGTACATGGAATTGCGGTTCAGTAATTTTTTTTAAAGAGAGAGGATTAAGGGACACGTAACGTTTTACGCAAGCGTCATTTTCCTATGTATGACCCGAAGTGATGATTTAATCATTTTTGTTTCAGTTTTTGATTGTAAGACCAGACATATATGACTTGCCATTTAGAAATGCATGCCTGTGTATACTATTTATCCTTATCTCCATTGTTTTCATAGTTTTATTTATGAGGAAGTAAAACCCTGATACATACTTGGATATAGTGCTCTGCTTATCATTCCTGGGAAAATCATTATGAATATAGGTAGGATTTTCAGATATCCAGCTAAAATTGAGCCACCTTTTGCATGTTCTAGTGATTTAGCTGCAAGTGCACGCTGCACAATAACCTGCAATAATTATAATACATCAAGCTATTTATTTATTCATTATCATTGTAATACGACGTGTTGCATGCGATTACCAACTGAATCAACAGAACATGCACAAAATCAGTCAATACTTTAGTTTGAGTATTAGGGGTCTGATCGCACGATCTCTAGTACGAGCGGAAATATTTCAATCCAGTTCTTATGGTTACGATTTGTCATAGTCATCTAGGTAACTTTTCCAACTTTTGTACTCAGTTTTATATACAATAATCATACGGGAGTCATCTGTTATTAAAACCATAATGAGGACCTGTGATCGCCCTGAAAAAACTAATTCAGTTTGATTATTATGTTAATAGTAATAATTAAATGGAGTAAATTTACCATGAACTACATTGAGGAGCTACTATAAATTCTTCGATGAATAATCCCAAACAATATGCAATGCTTGTGGGAAAAAAACCAACATAACACACAGATTTAAACACACTATTTATTTTGTTTGGGAAGCATCACAAGTATTTTGCATCAAATAAGTTCAGAAAAATCCAATTTTAAGAAATAATTATTTGACTGTTTATTTTTGTGGGGGGCGGGGTGGGGATGGGGGGGGGGGGGGGGGTGGGGGATTATAAATTTGTCATTTCTTAACAGAATAGAAAAAAAATAAACTTTTAGAATATGGCAAATTACAATTTTAAATTTAGATTGTCGATCATTATACGTGATTGAAAACCTATAATTACTACATAGATATACAAAAAGCCATGTCCAGTAAGCTTTAGAAGTCATCTACTGTGGATCCGCCACTATATCTATCAATAATTATGACTTGAAATTGTCCGAAAATTTAGCTGATGCATAAATAAATTTACCTGATCACAGCACCAATACCATAAACATCCAATAGAAGATTGTAAAATTAATCCTGGCCAAGGATTGTCTCCAGTAACAGCATCACGGAAAATATGAAAGGAATCTTGACGGGGAAATCCACATGTACTGTTAGGACTTCTTATATCAGGTATAGCTTGCATGTACAGCACCTCCAATTTGGAATAGCCTCCAATCTTGTTGAAACCTAAAATATAATACATTTAATGTCTGTTGATAATATGCTATTAATTACTGGTATAATCTAAAATGTTTGAATAAGTTCAATGAATAAAATATCGCTTTTCTTGAATATTTATTTAGATGAAAACACGCCTGAAAACATTGACATTGACCACTTAATTTCTTCGCAGCTATTAATTTTGAAAGGTCAAAGTGATATAATAAGCCAAACTATTGACGAAAAAAACGACAAGTGACACTAGTGATAGAGCTTGAAATTCTTACACTTTCGGAACACATGATTTTACTCCCCGGGTTTTAGCGGTGTTCGTGTTGCTTTTTTGTGTAGTATTTTGTTATTGTTGATTGTCTTTTTGTCAGTTTTTTTGTCTTTTTAGTCATGGTGTTGTCCGTTTTATTGGACTGATGATTTTTAGTGGCCCCTTTATATCCTCTCTCTCTCTCTCTCTCTCTCTCTCTCTCTCTCTCTCTCTCTCTCTCTCTTATGTGTATATTTTGTAAAAGTATCATATACTAGTACTTGACTTCATTTGTTAGGACTAAACAACTCTAGTGTCTTTATAATCAAATACATTTTGAAGAGAAACTAAGATATATTTCAAACATTAATTAAATAATAGACCTGCTGTCAAAATTTACCTACCAATTCCAACTAAAGAGAAGGCTCCAATTGTCATAACAACGGTCTGAAATGTATCTGTATATATCACTGCTCTTAAACCACCTTTAATAAATGGAAATTATCTAAACATTAGAATGATTGTAAAATCTAAAATAATCGATTCATCAACAACCCGTACAATATATAAATCTAATTTCTACTGCGTCACAACATAGGCTATATTTAACTGTGTCTACACAACAAAAGTTGCTTGAGAACAATGATAAACTTGAGGAGATCCATAGGTTTGACTTGTGCATAGAAATATGGTCACTTGGACTTCTCTCGTCCGGTAATAAAGCCCATGCTAAAGAGGAGTTCGTTTCGCCTTGATAACGCTTAAATACCAGGCCACGTTTGATCGGAAGGGGGAAGTTTAATTCAAGCCTCGTGTAAGGAGAGGACCGAGTTCCGACACGATAAATAAACCTTTGTCTTAACTCTTTGATGCGGTCTTTTACAAATCAAAACTGCCCTTTTCTTTATACCCTATGCCACAGTGGCAGTCTCATTTTCTCGCCCTACACTCCCATATACCCACTCTGTAATTTTCTTTTTGTATTTATGGTTTACTTATTTTGTTGTCTCCTGAATATTCATGAAATATTTACTATATGAAGTTAAGTAAAATAGCAACCAATCAATCTATAAACGTAAAAAGGATACATTGTATTTAAGAAGTGATAGAGCTGTTATTTTACACAAAGCTTGTTCAGGTTGTTTATGATAATGAATAAACACAAAACTTAAATTGTTGAAGTTTTGAAAATTCTCTGTAAAGCAATAATGGGGTTTTCTTTATAAGTTGTACCTATACTGTAACATTCCTTCTCAAACGCATATGACAGTTTAGGTTTTGAAAATAAATTTTACAGAAAGACATTTCGTTTAATGGCAATGAAAATACATTCCAGTAACATTGTGCATCTGGATTAAAATAAAACTGCTTTGTTCCAATTTGTGAATGAACCATCATCTTGTCAGGAGCATGCATTTGATAATTACCTAGAATGGTATATATTCCCGTAATGATAAGAAGTCCGACAATTGATAAATACATATCCCAGCCGAGAGCTAACTTGATAAATAATGCACCAGCATAAATGCTAACCTACAACATTAAAAAAAAATTCATATCAAATTAAATACGTCGAGCTTGCTTTCATGAACTACTAGTTATGGTTATTATTGTTGGGCTTGTACTTGTGCTTTTCTGATCTCGGAATTTATCAATTTATATGCTGTTGCTGCATTTCACGTTCCTTTATGTACCTTTTACATTTGAAGAAATAACGAAAAGAAAAGAGGGTTTGCATCGAATATGAATTGGGAGGATTTTTGTGCCCGTAAAACTTCTTTGACTTTACCACACTTTGCGCTTGCAAAAGACAGGCTTGAACCATTGCAGTTTTTCTTTATTTCCACGTCTAGAGTATGTAGCTGGTGTGGCCTCTTGTACTGTCCGATATTTTTCGTAATTCCCATCATACTTTTAATGTAATAGACATTTCCCAAGAAATATACTATTCCTAAACAAGGACCAATGTTAACACGCAACGGTGGGTTAAAATACACTATGAAAGAACAAAATTGCACAACATACATTTCATAATGCTACATATATAGTTTATATTTACATTTTTCATTCAATTTGAGCGAGTTACAGTTGAGCGGACTTTAAATTTGACAGTTGTTACATTTGAACGGATTAACCTGAGTGACTTTTTCAAGAGATTTGTTTTTCAATTGTCATTTATCACAGTCCTTACTGAATTGATCTAAAAGAAAATGGTGTCTATTCAGTATAATGGCTAATTACAAAAATATTTATTAGTGAATTCTTAGCTAGATACTTTTTAAACATGCAGTGTGCCTATTTACTGGTCAAAGGAAGATAATTCGTATCGCTTCTTTCATTACAAAAATCATTTGTGTAAATTGAATGTGAAGTAATGTTCCAAAACAGTTCTTTATCAAGGAAATGAAGTCATACCGCTATTTATGTGTAAAAAATAGTAGATTGATTGATGTTGATTTAAAATATTTTTGTGTACATACTATCTGTAGGAAAAAACTACTTTAGCAATAAAGGGAAGTTAATATGGTGCTTCTATTTGTTTCTCATTGCAACACTTACAGCTAACTTTGTTATGATGTACAAGACAAGAGCAAGAACACTCAGATAAATTCGTAGTCTTTTCCCGCCAAATCTTTTCTCGATATATTCTGGTAACGTATACACCTACAAACAGTGTAAACAATAACTGTTCAGGAGATTCTGTTTATAATATATTTGTAAAAGTCATGTTTATTGAAAGGTAAAGAAAAATTACACATTTAAAGTTTGAAAAGTATGAATAATTGATAAAGACGAAGTCATGAATCTGTATATGTACAATTTGTGTGCTTAATATTATAAAACAGATTTATTTCAACAAATATACAAAGACGCACTTCAGACAAACCAAAAACTGTTCATTTTTCACTTTGTCTTTATAAACAAGGCATATTTCAAGAATGTAGATTTATGTTTGACATAATATCACACGTGATATGAGAATATGATGCACGGATAAGCTTTTTTCATTTACATTTAATGGAAACAAAGAATTCGTGAATTCCAGGATATTTAAAGTTTGCATCGTCTTATTGTTATGTTTTTTTCTGCATGAAAGAAGTTAAACTTGGATAAAAAGTAACCATGTGCACCAACTTACCCCAGCTGACACGTATACAGGCAGAAAGAACCAGCCGAGTAACAATACTAGTGGCATCGACTGCAATGGTAAAGCAATATTTTAAAGTGTGTCTTATGATAAGGCCATGTGTGTTTTCTTATGTTCTGTGTCGATAAATTTCAATACCTTCCATCCAAAAAAAAAGAAAATGTATATGAAATTAAAATTCTTTTCTGTATGGGTCAAGCTTGTCTGTTGTTTAAGACCGTAAGGTGATCTGTAGATATGCGCATATTCACATTCGATTCTTTTTGATATTATTTAGATAGATAATGGTCTCTTTGGAAATTATCTCCTCACATTTAATTTGCAGCTGATAATGTTTACAAATACATTTCTGATATATTTATTTTAATGCTGATGATTATTTTTGTGAAAATTTGGCAAATTACATAGCGTGGATAGTCATTTCGACTTTTTTCATCCATTTTTTTTTCTAAAAGAACAATATTAAAGTTAGTATGGCATAAATCCGAGTTCCAGCAGACATACATGCAATATACATTGAAAAAGGTCAGTTTCAGAATATTTTATATGAGCGATCGTTTTAATCAATGACGGATACTAGAAGACTTCATTTCATAGCAATCAGAAATGTATACGATATAATTTCTCACTATGTTTGTGTAGAAACCTTGTATGTAAACAAAAGTGATGTTTCAGTGCCATTTTAGATGATTTTTGGGGTATTAATTTCAATTTGATTCATCTTCTTTATTGTCATGATTGACGCCATAAGCATTCGAATTTTAGCTGCCAAGTCGTACGATTGCTGTCCTATGCCTAAGCAAGAAAATGTCGTTTGTGGCTCATTTGAATGACATATCATATGAAAGGTATTTACCGCCCATTCATAAGATATCATAGCAATACCCGCTGCCGCACCAGTCCCCGCCAAACCGACGAAATGTTCACTTCCAATGTTACTTGAAAACAGAGATGCTCCTACCTGAAACAGAAACACTTATAAACATGACTTTGTATATCTTTATATTTGAAATATAATTGATGTTATAATTTTAATAAATCAGATTGATATTTCATATAAAGAAGTTAAAAAAGATATTTTGTTAATCAAACTAAATGGTTGTGAGATATCTCTTTGGTGTATTCCACTTAAAGCGTGCATTGTTAAAACATTATTTTTATTAGACTACATAGAAAAGCTTAAGACTAAGCAACACGAACCCTACCAAAAATCTTCCTTAAACTTAGTAGTTTCGTGATTTTTTTCATCAAGAAAAGTCGATTAACCTCTGCCTACAAATGTATTACAGTGTTGTTGAAAAGGTATTATTCTGATAACATAGTACATTACTTTGAACTTTTCTCGGTAGCAATCATTAAATCAACGCAGAAAACCAGAATAGGATGTAACTGGCAGATAACAGTAACTTTTAAGCCATTAACATCGTATATTGTAGAATTGTAGGAAATATGTATATAATGTTTTTTTTATTTAGCAAAATTAGCGTTAAATAGGAAGGACTGAGTATTTATAGTTTAAGACTGCTAATTACATGTCTGTGTGTCCCTCTTAAAGCAAAGTTTCTTTCTGTAACAGACACATACATGAGAATTTTGGTTTTGATTTTAGCTCCTTGATCTTGTCACCTGCATGATCGAGTTCATTTAACTCTCATCTTAAATACTTGGTAATGTAATTTATATCTTACTATGTGTTGAACTCAGTTGATTTTTAACACAGGCTTATCAAACATAATGAAAAGAAGCTAGCATATTTTGACATGTTTCATAGAAAATATGACATACTTTCACTGAGTTATTCAATGGTTGGTGACGACGTTAATTGCATTAATATCCTTGAATGTGAGTTATACAGACCATCTAAAATTCAAACTGACATATATGCCGTGCATTCATCATTTACCGTCCATTCTGAGTACGTGTTCCGTTCATTCATCGTCCATTCACAATACGTGCGCTCATCATTTATCGTTCCGTGTATAATCCATTCAACGTGCGCTCAACGTTCATTCATCTTAAATCGTGTAACGTGCGCTCATTATGCGTTCGACCTTAATCATACAATGTGCACTCAATGTTTGTTCGTTCTAAATCGGGCGATATTTATTCAGCCTTTAATTCATTTTGTAACTTTAATGATTACTATCTGTCTGATATAACCACTACGTGCTGATTAGAAAACATCTTTTGAATTATAAGATATTCTTAGAGTATTATTATCTACATGTATATTGTTCTGTTATAAAATAACCTAACTATCATGTGTACTCTGTTTCTTAAATAACTTTATTTAGTTGCATTATATTTAAAACAGAAAATATTCCAGCACCATCTGCATATGGAGTATTGAAATATTTAACTCAAAGTGGATAGATATTCCTTATGATTTTCTTGATAGAGGGTTGCTGCTTACAGTTGATTGATTATTGTTTACTTAACACCATCGTCTCAGCAGCTGCTTACAAAGAAGCTATCAAGAGTTCTAAATGGTTAAGTTGAAATCACATCTTCGAGGTTTTTAAGGACACCCTAATAGATGGTTACAAATGTTGATTAAGGAATATCAGTGTCACAAATGAATATAGATATGTTCTACTGGTAGTATAGCCAAAATCCCCTCCTCCTTTCCATCTTTATTCCATCTCCAAATATGACTGTAAGACATCACCAGATTATATGTACGTCATGAGCAACATGACGAGTGCAGGCACTGGTAAAGCATGATTCTAGAGCACCCAAGTTTAACCCCTGATTTTGGTGGGATTCTTAAGTTTTATGTGTAGTGTTTTGAGACTTGTTTTTGTATTTCCGTCTTTTTTTTTCTCTTTTGGCCATGATGCTATTTGTTTTTCTTCGTCTAATAATGTTGATTAACCCTTGGTATTTTTTTTACCTTTTTACGAGTCTTTTGCTCCCTTTAATTGTTAGGTTGATGACTCGATCATTGATGTTTTATCTATTATATCATCTTTAAACATATTGTAAATTAAATAAGCCATGTACATAAATCTATACCACATATAGATTACTTGCAAGGAACCATATGATATATCATATGGCTGGTTTAATAAAGACAGAGGAAACCGCAATATGACATTTTCTATAGTAGATAGCTAGACAGTGATTTAGCATTCTTAATGAATATGAATACATATAGCCGGAAACAAACGTGTCAAGATGCCTCATGAGAAAGTTTTCAGATTGTAACTTACCGGAAACCATGTCATACTTCGTCCTGCCAAGAAGTAGCTGTTTACATTTCCTCTGTTGCCACGAAAAACAGACTACAACAAATACAAAACAAAAACCAAATGTAAAATGTTCGCATATAGTTTTTTTTGTCGACATTTTGCTCCAAGTATAATAGTTTGTTTTACGTTGGTAAAATAAATTGCTACCAAAGGATGTACATTTTCATATTTCTGAATTTTCCTTAATATTTATGAAAACGCTGTTATTTGGATTTTCAGGATTTGACATCCTTCAAAACATTGGAAAGGATATACGGATACACAGAAAATGACGGATAAAGTCAAAATTTCGAGACAAAAAAATCACTTACCCATAATCCAACAAACAAAACCAATACGAAATATATCACGACAACTGTTATATCGCCCCAATGGTCAAGACCTTTGGTCGCCATGTTCATCAAGTATTTTTACAAGTAATCCACCAGGCCAAGCTAGTTGTAAGAATGTATCTTAAATTATTGTAACGTTATCACTTGGATAAACAAACAACTGACCAGGATGCTCCACAATTTAAGCAAATCTTTCTTTTATCCAGAAATCCCAAATGGTTTGAAAAGGTATTGTAACTTTTTGAAATAAAGTTATTCATTTACGCCTTTTCTAACAAAATTGAAAAAAGCACACCGTATAAATTGTAAACATCATTTCGGCAGTATAATTAATTGACCGGTTCAAACCATTTTCACAGAGCTTCTTACAACATTAATTGATCCATTATTATCTTTAGGTCAGAATGTAAAAGTTAACCGCTCTCATTTGTTTATCTATATCAGTAAACACCTTCAATCAAACTTCTGCACTTCTAAAAATATGCTAAGATGTTCCTTATCTTAACATTTTGTGATAAAACTTTTCTATCTGTAGTATATATATCACTCTAATCAAATAAATAGAAATTCCTGAAACAAAGCTAAAAGCCTATACATGTATAAAATCGGATATCTTAAAGCACTCAGTGTACTCTGAATGTTTATTTATAATCTATTTTATGCGTTGTCAAGAACTATTTACATATCTTTGTTGTTATGAAATCCGTATGTATAAAGTCATAAGATGACAGTTAACAATAGCAAGGACGTATAAATATACGTCCTTATATACATGTTTTGACATTTAATGACCTATATATCAAAATTTATTTTGAATTTCAACATCTTAGGGTGTCTGTTGTGTTAGTTCTTTTGACATTTTATGAAGAATTTTGTTCTAAACTAGGCCAAGTTATATAAAATTGGAAAGTTTAACTCCTTCAATTTATTCCGAAGAAATGACATCAAGTTGTACGAAGAGATGTTTGGTAAGCCAATACATCAATGTGTACGAAGAGATGTTTGGTAAGCCAATACATCAATATGTACGAAGAGATGTTTGGGAAACCAATACATCAACGTGTACAAAGAAATGTTTGGTAAGCCAATACATCAATGTGTACGAAGAAATTTTTGGTAAGCCACTACATCAATGTGTACGAAGAAATTTTTGGTAAGCCACTACATCAATGTGTACGAAGAAATTTTTGGTAAGCCACTACATCAATATGTACAAAGAAATGTTTGGTAAGCCAATACATCAACGTGAACAAAGAAATGTTTGGTAAGCCAATACATCAATATGTACGAAGAGATGTTTGGGAAACCAATACATCAATATGTTCGAAGAAGTGTTTGGTAAGCCACTACATCAATGTGTATAAAGAAATGTTTGGTAAGCCACTACATCAATGTGTACAAAGAATTGTTTGGTAAGCCAATACATCAGCGTGTACAAAGAAATGTTTGGTAAGCCAATACATCAATGTGTACGAAGAAATTTTTGGTAAGCCACTACATCAATGTGTACAAAGAAATGTTTGGTAATCCAATACATCAACGTGTACAAAGAAATGTTTGGTAAGCAAATACATCAATTTGTACAAAAAGAAAGATATTTTATGCAAGTGAATGGAAAATGTGTTTTGACAGCGACTAGGGAAACATTACTTTTCCCTTAACATAAGCTTCTGGCAAACATCTCTAAATATGAATATGTTTGCGTTCAGCACACGGGACATTTTCCTCACAACGTGAATTTAGATTTACCGACTGAATAAAAGCGGAAGAGACGTTAAGTGTTTTGCATCGTCACTTGGCTTATTATATTGGCTGTTTCATCATTCATTTTATGAGAGAGATGCTCATTAAGTTATTAAGTCAGTCTAATATTGCGTTTTTCCGTGTTAATAAATAAATAGATAAGGGTTATGTGTACATTATACAAAAGTCCCATGAAATATTTCAAATTGAAATAACTAATATACAACTCAGAAACCCACATTAATTGCTGTTCTTCATCTTAAGAATCGCTGGAAGGTATTTAAGTAATGAACTTTGAGGATCACAACTTACTGCAAGATCATTATGATAGACTCTAGACACAGAAATAAGGAGACATGGTATGGTTGAAAACTATCCACCAGTGACCAAAAACGAGGATGTAAACAATTATATAAAGGTCACTGTACGCCTTTCAACAATGAGCAAAACCTATATCGTATAGTAAGCTATTAAATGGGAAACAATTAATTTTAAAAAGAATACCAAATACCAGAAGTCTTTTTGTTTGAAAGATCGCAAATAAACTGCAATCGAAGCTATGTCAAGCTTCTTACCTTAAAACTATTTCGTTTGTTTCCCGACAAATCAACAAAGATCCCTATCATAAAAATTATTACTAACACATATATCTATTTTCAAGTCGTCAGATGATAATAATGTACGAAATATTTCTTTGAATGTGTCTTCATGTACGAGATACTAGATGTAACGATCTCTTTTTGTTTGCAGATAAGATGGTTAGAATTGATAAGAAACAGAAATCAGGATTACAAATAACAAATAAACAGCATGCATAAACACAGGAAAATTATTTTGGTTATTCACTGTAAGTGTGCATTTGCTTGCAAGTATTGTTGTTAAGATTAACTTGGTGTAATTCTAAACTGGTTCAAAACACCAACCTTTTGTTTATAGTTAAATGCCCTGAGAGTAATCGAATCTCAGGGTTTACTTTCTCTGTTTATATTTTCCTCTGCATGTGGTGTTTGCTGTTTTGACAGTTAATTAGATATTTAAGGCAGCGTCTTCCATCACATGCAATACAAACTTATTCTCCGGGTACATCCAGTCTATGTCTGTCAATTCTAGGGTACCTTTTGTAAAGATATTGTTTCGGTGGTTTCGTGATAGTAACGTATTTGTCTCTAGTGTCGCTGTCGGGGCACACATTGAGACGCAAAGTAGGGTAATTCACGAACTAGGATATATGAGATATATATTGAAACATCAAGCACCAAAACTATGTAAATTTCTAATCGCTCCTTGCATAAAATTCTTTTCATAGATATAAGAAGATGTGGTATGAGTGCCAATGAGACAACTCTCCATCCAAGTCACAATTTGTAAAAGTAAACCATTATAGGTCAAATAACGGTCTTCAACACGGAGCCTTGGCTCACACCGAACAGCAAGCTATATAAGGGTCACGAAAATGACTGGTATAAAACCATTCAAACCGGAAAACCAACGGTCTAATCTATATAAAAAACGAGAAAAGAGAAACACCTATGAACCACATCAACAAACCACAACCACTGAACATCAGGCTCCTGACTACAATGATTTTCTTTTTTTAATATTGCAAAAATGATATAGCTCGCTAGTATAAAATTCTTTCGCCTGCCAAAAATCAAATTCGAAAAAAAAACATAAAATAATTTGGCTCGCTTGCTACCCTTGTTCAAACGCTTGCTACCCTTGTTCAAACGTTTGCTACCCTTGTTCAAACGCTTGCTACCCTTGTTCAAAATCGGGTCTGCTTTGGAACCTTTATTTTCAGAAATAGGAATCATTATATCAAGAGACCATAACTCTGGAACTATACACGTATCTAATACTAAATTAAAAAGTTTAACTGAAAGTATCATAAGATCGTATACAGTACTTTTTAAGTTTATAAGTATTACCACTCACAATCACAAAATGGCAAACTGAAATATCATAGTTTTCAAATTTACCTAGAAATATAGAAATGTTTTAATTAAAAAAAGAAGTAATCAGGTATTGAGTACGGGATTGAAGCACGATGGGTTTCAAATGTTTAGGTTTGAGCGTTCCTGATGAAGATTGTTCCAGGAAATCGCTTCGGATGCACGAAATCTATAAAGTATTTATTTCATTTACTAGCAATAGGTCGATACCGCTCGTGGTGGACTGTTATTCCCTGAGGGTATCATCAGCTCTGTAGTCAATGCTTCGGTACTGACATGATTTATAACATAGATTGAATTGAAACTCCCCGCGTTCAAATAGATGGAGAAATTATAAAAGAAACAAAGGTTCCAACTCCCCCAATGTTGATCTTAGATGAATTTGACTATTTCGTATAGGTCCTTTTGGGTCATATAGCTCCTAGACGGCGTGCACAAAGTTGACGGCAACTGTAAAATGCGCTTTTAAAAGTAGTTTTATACAACCGTGTTTAAAATATCTTTTAAATAGGAAGTTTTTTTATGATAAATAATGAATGCTAGCCATTGAAATCCACATTACTAGTAAGGTTATCAAAATTAAATCTATAAAGTATGAAACGACCATAGAGAAAACGGCAAAAATAGTTGAAACTTGTAACATTGAATAAGCATAAAATAGAGTTTTTGACCTAAAATTTATACAAATTCAACATATTTTCCCGCATTTTCTTATAATAGAATTTTTCGGATTCGGACTATGACGTCAGACGAAATTCAATGCAACAAAATTCAAAAACGGCCATGGAAGATGAGTTTGGAATGTAGTTCGTTATTTGTAAGAAGTAGTAATTTGGAAGGATTAATATTCGAAAATGTAAGAATCGGTAAGAAAAAATATGTAATTGCTTTTTTTTAATTTCGAAATAACTTGATATTCTATATGTGCATAACAAGTGGTTTAAAAAAATCTGCAAAATATGAATGATTCGATAGTCCAGGCTGAACACCTGAAAATTTTAAATGTCCAGCTATTTTGTTACAATTTAAAGAAATGACGTTTTAACGCTATTTTCTGAATAGGGTCCACGACATAGTCGGATATTATTTCCGTTAGACTGCTCTTAGCATATATTTATTTATATTTCCGGAATGTGTATTTGCTACACTTTGTTGTTCGAAAAAAAAAGAAATATGTTTAACGTTTATGTTTAAAGTTATGTGATAAACTAAGTGTCCAGTGTTTTTGTTACGCGTTTGTTTTCTGAGGCAAAAATGTCGACGTCGTAAATGATTTAAGTATTTTGAAGACGTTACGTTTGTAGACTCAGCTATATGCACGCCGTCCTAACGTTGCAGTGTATTTACGCATCATTTGTTTTCAAATGTTAAGGTTTGAGCGTTCATGATGAAGGTTAATCCAGAAAAGCGCATCGGACGCAGCAAATTTATAAACTGTTTTTTTCATTTGTTTCGCTCACATTGTATCTGCATTTTATATCGACTATCTTTGCTCTAGCTTTCAGTAACTACAAATATTCATTGATTTGACTTGAAAAAATGTATTTCGGTTTATATTGCAATGGGTATCCAGTTTTATTGCTATTTGTTAAAATTTGCATTTGTGTTAATAAAAGTATAATGCAAAGATAAGGCTTTACGGGCTCTTTAAATATAACGATAAGGAGATGTGGTATGATTGCCAAGGAGAAAACTGTCCATCATGACCAAAATGACTTCATGTAAGCAACTATAAGGCTACTGTACAGCCTTCAACAATGAGCAAAGTTCATACCTTAAAGTCAGGTTCAAACATGACAAAATGTGAAATGAATAATAACAGAACAAAAAATGAAAAACAAATATGACAGACAGCAACCAAAGACAACCACCAAATTGTAGGCTTCTGTATGCAATAGGAACATAGTGAATGTGGTGGCGTACAACATGTGAGTGCTTCCTCTAACCTGGGACAACAGAGTAACAGCACAACACAAGAACTATCAAATTTATCAGATTGGAAAGGAGCGCAAGAAAAAAAATAACAAATATCAGTCACCAAATTTCTTCCATAAGTTTTAGTTTACCTTCTTTATGCAGTCAGTTTCCCAAAATGGATCTGATAAAAAAAACAAGACAACATATTTTCATGGTCAACATTAAAAACTATCAGTTAAGGTGAAGTAAGAGGGTTAGATAACCAGAACATAATATTTGTATTTCTTATTTCTCTTGTCGGTAATCATCTGCATATAAATATTATTTCTTCTTGTTGGACTGTATGGTGTGTCTGTTGAATTTCTCGAAGCAGAAAAAGATCAAAGTCAACAGCTAACTGTCTAAATTCTAGTTTTAGGACAAACATACTTAATGTGAAAAGAGTCATTTTTGTTTGCTGGGTGTCTGTCTTATCTACATCAATCAAACATTTCCTTGTTAATCTTCTTTTTAAGTTATTTTCATGTGTGGTATGATAGCCAGTGAGACAACTTTCCAGTAAAGGTCATGCCCAAATTAAACACATTAAGTTTTATGACTGTCTTTTGTTGGCTTACTGTCTAAATGATGTAAACCATAAACCCCAATATTATCATACTTTTCGCTATGATCTTACTTTATGCATGAATATGATATGAGTTTAGTATTTTGATCCACTTCTCATAATCCACAGCGGTATTTTTGGACTAATGGAAATGCACCTTTCTTTTATTCCAAATTTAACTAGAAATTATCTGTGATAAAATACCACTTTTTTATAAAAGTGTCCAAGAAAAATTTAAATTTTAGTAATCAAGAATAACAAGAAATGGTACATTTGGTATATTTATAAGATATAAATAAAAAAAAATAAGAAGATGTGGTATGATTGTAGGCTAGGAGGATCTCCCTTCAGTTATTTATTGTGTATTTTCAGATCATTACTTTCAAAATTCCCCTATGCACCCCCTCCCTTAAAAACAATTGTCAGCCCCAAAAAACTGGTATTTTTGTCCCGGAAAGTGACTCCTAACCAAGGATTTGTATACTATACACTATACAAATCCTTGTCCTAACTTATTTAACTAACTGTTTTGTAATTTATTTCGACTTTTAAATTTATGATATTAAACATGAAACTAATGTATTTGGTTCCTCCATCAGCTATACAATTCTTTCTCAACTGTTAAGATTTTGTTTTTGGCGGATTTGTAATTAGTGGGTAAATTATTCCGGGAGATTTGCTTTCGATAATTTGGATAGTTATCATTAGGTTAAGAGTATTAATCAGAAGAGTTTCGAATGACAAGATGTTACCTCTCCTTTCGTCTAAGTCCCTGCGAAACGACGAGTGTGCCAGTTACGTTGCTTTCGCCGGGAAATTTGAATGATTTGACCCGAATGCAACTGAAGCTGCGTAAGGGTTCCATCGATCGGAAAATCAATACATGCTTCTGATAGAAGAATCATTTTGAAAGAAAATGAGTGTCTTTGTAAGGTATATAGTCACACAGAAATATTTTCAATTATTTTTTATTTAAAGTAGGTTAGGCAATTCAAAATAGCGATTTAGATCCCTTTAGGATTTTTCAGTATACGGATATGGATAGCAAACTGCACATTGCTAGAAAACAAAGAAATATTGTTGCCATCGTAAAAAAACAAAAAAATATTGTTGCCATCGTAAAATACGTTTATAAAGTAATACATATAGACAGGTAATACAAAAAAAAATAAAAAACATTGATTATTTTTTTAAAACTGCTAACCTAGTCCCTGTGGGCCGTTATAGAACACTTAACGCGGAAACCAACATAAAAAATATTTGTTTATTGATGTGTGCTAGTTGTCAAATGGCAAATATTACATGCATGGTAAGGATGATTAATTAATGTAATAAAAAATAGTTTTGTACTATACCAACGCAAACAGTCGGATTATTAACGTGTTATTTCGCAATGCAAAAACCTGTTAGCAGAAATGGGAGACATGTCACCCGTTAAGACACATTCTTGGTCGGTCACTCTTTTATCTTATCCTAAATATCATGGGGCTGGTTGAGAATCATTACAGGCATATTGTTTAGTCTTTTGACCTTCCACACTTGAGTGAAGCACACTACATCGAGATCACGAAGATGTTGGTGGATGTAGGAATTCTTAACGAGAACAAAATGCACCATCAATTTTAGAATTAAAAACAACTTGCTCCTTAGTCATATTTTTAAAATATTTGTATTTACTCGAGTCTATTTTTATATAATAAGTGACAGTGAGAGTGTTAAATGGTCATCTTAAATCTTACATTGGAAACACTTTATACGTGTTATATGTATACTCTGAAAGATTAGAGTAGAGGGAAGACGCATGTACAATATACAGTGTTGTCGTAGATCCCATGGAAAGAAATCCGTTAGATAAGTGGAGTTTGATTTTGATTAAAAAGTTTACAACAGCATACACAATCTTCATAATTAGGTTGCTTGAAATACCAATGAATTGTATATATATATGTGTGTATCATATTTATGTCAAATAAATTTCATATAATATTCAGTGACTGGTTCTGTTATTTTGTAAGCGAGTAAAATTAGTATTCTTACTCAATACTATATTAATAAGATAAAGATCAACAGTGAATGATCCAGAATTTAAAAAGAGAAGGGCTCAACAAAAAATATTGCTTTATAGGCAGTAGGGAAGACTGGCAATAAAAAAAAGTTAATATAATAAAACACACTAAAGGTTTGGCCATTCGGTTGATCCATATCACTTTCACCCTCCTCTCCCTAAAAGTAGAACCGTGGATCCGCCATAATAAGCATTATAACAAATATGAACTTAACTGTTGCATATTTCTATTTTACTTCGATTTAATAACTTTATATACCGGTAGTGTAGAAAATCGTTTGTTTTCGTTTAATTAGATAATCAGTGTTATCGGAGGTCTGCAAGGAATCGTGATCGAACTATTTATATTAAGTAGCATATATTCAATAACAATTGATGACTAGATATAAAATATTTGCATAACTATATCAGTTAAGTTGATTTCATTTAATATTTCGAATAGCAGTGGAATACGTTTGATGCATAAATACAAAGTCATGGCCGGTCTGATTTTGTCGCAAGATTTTTAAAAATCTAGAAAATTACTACTACTAACCCAGCAGGCATTTCAACGTTGAAACAACGTTGAATTAACATTGATCTGTAACGTTGAAAAGACGTTGAAATAACGGTTGGTTTTGAAAGTTGACACAACGTTGAATATCTGACGTTGAAACAACGTTATATTTTCAACATTGTATCAACGTTGATTTTTGATTGAATATAGGTTGAAACTTAACATTGAAACAACATCACCCTAATATTGCAGCAACATTCTTTCATGTTGAAATAAGCAATACATTGCTTGTTGTTGGTTCATCTGTCACATGTGTTTGTCGTTACAAATTTAGGCGGTTGGTTTTTCTCGTTTGAATTGATTATTGAAGGGTGTATTGTGTCCGGGTCTTCTATTGCGGTCTATACGGTGTGGTGTGTGCTTATTGTTGAAGTCCGTTTAGTGACGTCCACGTCAATTGGACTCTGGTGGATATTTGTCTCATTGGAAATCATACCACATCTTCTTATATCTATAATAGTTAGTAACCACACAAGATATTGAAGCCACATGACTCTACAGAGGACATCAGCAAGATTTGAAAAAAAAACCAGTACAACAGATGTCAAGTTATGACAAAAGCTAAATTAAATATAGCCAAAAGGTGATCTGGTAAATGAATACAAATAATCTCTTAATCAATTTTTATTATTTTCGTGAAAATGAATTGTAGTTTCTAAACTCCTCCAATCATTTCTGGTGCACAATCCTTCTTTAATTCAGCTTCTGTTATCTTTGTGTAGGCCTCCATTACTCTTCCTGAAAAAACAAACACAAATAATATTTTGTAAACATGACTTAGCAATTACGTAGAACGTCAAAGGCAGGGAATAAAATGTTATATAGGCCAGGTTTTTTTAAAATAATTTACTGGTTTATATAATACCGGATCCGTTTTTACAATTTTTTTCGCTCCTATACATGTACAATGTAGCAATGCCGCCTATCTCGAGCACCACGATCTATTGTTCAAATGCCACCTATTTCGGCCACCACGATCTATTGTAACAATGCCACCCATCTCAAGCACTAGGATCTATTGTAACAATGCCACCCATCTCGAGCACCAGGATCAATTGTTAAAATGCCACCTATCTCGAGCTCAGGATCTATTGTACAAATGCCACCCATCTCGAGCACCAGGATCTATTGTACAAATGCCACCCATCTCGAGCACCAGGATCTATTGTAACAATGCCACCCATCTCGAGCACCAGGATCTACTGTAACACTGCCACCCATCTCGAGCACCAGGATCTATTGTTAAAATGCCACCCATCTCAAGCACCAGGATCTATTGTAACAATGCCACCCATCTCGAGCACCAGGATCTATTGTAACAATGCCACCCATCTCAAGCACCAGGATCTATTGTAACAATGTCACCCATCTCGAGCACCAGGATCAATTGTTAAAATGCCACCTATCTCGAGCTCAGGATCTATTGTACAAATGCCACCCATCTCGAGCACCAGGATCTATTGTAACAATGCCACCCATCTCGAGCACCAGGATCTACTGTAACAATGCCACCCATCTCGAGCACCAGGATCTATTGTTAAAATGCCACCCATCTCAAGCACCAGGATCTATTGTAACAATGCCACCCATCTCGAGCACCAGGATCTATTGTAACAATGCCACCCATCTCGAGCACCAGGATCTATTGAAACAATGCCACCCATTGAGCATATAAATCAATTCAAATCACATAGTTCACACAAACACAGGCAATCCAACATACATACTGATTATTGATAATCAAAAATGTTAAAAAATAAAAAAAAAATACATACCTTGACAGCTATTACTTTTATCCTTAAATCTTTCTTTCCTAAGTTACTGATCTGTCCCTTTCCTAAGTTACTGTTCTGTCTCTAATACCTGTGCAAAAAATAAGAATAACATCGATCATCATCGCCAAGCAATATTTTAAATTAGTAAAATTCGATTGAAGAGTAAAAAGAAATTATTAAAATTCAGAGTATAGTTGACAATAATTAAAATAGTGTGATTATGGATGACGGGTTAAAATTTTAGATAAAAAAGGGGGAGATGATAATCTTACTTCGCAAAAGTTCCTTTTCTTTAACAAATCAGTAGTAAATAACTAAAATGAGCTGTATGTAGGCTGAATATGGTGTTTCCAGATTGTAGTACATATTTATATAGAAGTGCAGTCATAAATAAGTTGAACGTACAACAAAAAAGACGATGTACACACTGGAGTCAGTAATGTTATCTTTACAACATACACTATGGCGAGATTTTCAAAATATACAAGTACGTTTGCGCATTTATAATCTCCCAATGTTAACACCACACAAGCATTAAAAGACAATTAGTACAGCAACGAATAATAATTTAAAGAAACACTTACATTTCTATGAATTCTTCTTTGCTGAAAACGGTCCTAAATATTGTCCAGGAAAATGATACAATTTCCGCGTTTGAAAAAGGCGGTCACACACGTGTGGTCATACATTAATCAGCATCATGTCACGTGATTACTATATATATATAAAAATATTAATTTTCGCGAACCATTTAGGTCACGGAAATTCCATTTTTTGCCATCAGTAAGGAGAGTTGTACAAATAATGTGAATACACAGAACCCCGATCCAATTCATCTTTTGCTAAAAATATTTATCATTTTCTGTTTTATATCTCCTAAAATCATTCCATTTTTCTCTAATTTCGATTAAAATATGCCAAAACCTGCAGTAAAAATAGATGTATGCCCCAAATAAACATTCCCCGATTGGTTGAACTACTATGGCGTCGATGTAAAGCAACGAAAGCCTCGATGTAAAGCAACGCAAGCCTCGATGTAAAGCACACGCTTCCCAAGAGTAAGGAGAGTTGTACAAATAATGTGAATTCACAGACCCCCGATCCAATTTATCTTTTGCTAAAAGTGTTCATCATTTTCTGCTCTGTATCTACCAACAACATTCCATTTTTCTATAATCCCGATTTAAACATGTCGAAACCTGCAGTAAAAATAGATGTATGCCCCAAGTAAACATTCCCCGATTGGTTGAAAAGCTGTGGCCTCGATCTAAAGCAACGCAAGCACACGCAAAAATTTCCGTTGAAATGTTGAACTTCGACCCCGAGCCGATTCACATAGAGATTTTCTTGCGCTCAAATGTAATTCTAAGTGAAGTATACTGGTAAAGTAAAATTATGTTCTTTTACAGAAATATTTACACATTTTATTATTAATGTATTGTCATGCTTCTGCATATTTACGCTGAGCTTTAGTTAAATATAATTCTATACAAATTTTGTTACGTCAAGCATTAAGAGTAAGAATATATTTCGCGCCAAAACAAGAAAATAATCTGTGTCACCAAATAACAGAATAAGGTTATCAGCATCTTTCTGAAATTTTCCAACAGAAAATAGCGTTAATTATAGAGAAATTTTGGTGAGTATTACTTATTAATGTTAAGGTTCTCCAGAGGTGGTTCTCTACACCTTCTTGGCGGTCAATTTAATCCCATTTACCAATTATCCCCGATGGCGATGACACCCAGTCGATTTATGTCATGAGTGAAAATCTTATCTATTTGATGAAATAACTTCTTCATTAACTGTACATGCAATATTTTTGAAGTTTTTGATAGCCGTGCACATTACCATTGCATGTCCGCAAGATAAATGGGTTATGCATTTGTGAATTGTGTAAGTACTGTAATATTGTGTGATAAAAATTTGTGACGGTCAGTGCGTGATCACGTGACATTATTATTTGTAAACAAACGGGCTCCCCATGTAACACGTGTCGGAACTATCCATACAAGGTGCAATCAATCTTTTATTTCACTATTTGATGATATTTCTGTGTCTGTTTGTAGGTTTTGCAGATCAGATCATCGACAGATGTCATAGTGTAGTTTCATAGGTAAAAAAGTACCATGATTGTTCCTGTTCAGTAGTTGTGATTTTTTTTTATAGAATTAGAAGGTAATTCTACATTACTCAGTAGTCATTATTTGAATTAAGTCTGAAAAAAAATGACTCAACTCTCTGTGTAATTTTTCCCCAATTTTTGAAACATGCATAATTGAAAGAGCATTTGCTTCCCTTGAACCCTCCCCCCTTACAAATTGCCCAAAACTCATACTCATAGTCCGAGATTACTCTGGTGTCCAACATCTGTTTTTGCGATTCCGGCATTTTAACTCTTTATTTTCAAATTGAACACACTCTGCCATTCAGCTTATTTGCATCATAAATGAACGAGGTGTTAGATTATGATGTTTTCCTATTGAATAAGGGTCATTTTCATAAATCAGCTCTCATACATGTAATGCATTGTAAATTACTTTTTCTGTTGGGGTCATGTCACAATCTTTTAAAGTTAAAGTAAAAATGCCAATATTGATGTGTCGATGTGAAAACTGTCCAAATATGAGAAAATAGCGGATGGCAGGTCGATTAAACTTTACTTTAATGAAGAGAAAAATGAACTAATTGAGGCTCGATTTATATAGATTATGTTTTCCTATGGAACATGGGTCATTTGCATAAATCAGTTCCCATAATGTTGGTCATGTGACATTCTTACAAAAGTGAAAGTTAAAATGAGGGTGGTAATGGGGGTACCTTCATGACGAATAACGGTAAAAAATCCTGCCAAATGATGTTAACGGTAATTTTTGGTGCATGACGATAAAATACTTTCTTCAAGACGATAAAAAAAATAGACAGATTTTGACGAATCACGTTAATTTTTCCCCAAAAATAACAGTAACGATAATTATTTGAGACCTCTGACGAATCACGATAAGGATATGTTGACGAATCACGGTAAAATGTTAACCAATTTGATGCTAACGGTAACCAAAAATGACTGTTTGACGCCTGACGGTAAAGGGCATTCATACTCTCTAAAATGCCAGTATTGATGGGTCAATGTGAAAACTGTCCAAATATGAGAAGATAACGGGTGGCAGGTTGATCAAACTTACTTAAATGAAGAGAAAAATGAATAAATTGAGGCTTGATTTATATGAATCTAGTCGCCTCCACTTCGGACAGGCAAATATCATCTATCTGATATGGGACCTGCTGAAGTCCCACTCCCCTAGCTGGTGTCGCAAAACAGTCGTTGGAGGTTAGAGTAATCTCCAACTACAAAACTCAATTCCAATGACAAAATACCCTAATCTTAAATTGAAAGCATTGGAAAAGTAAACTGTAAACTATAATTTTGAAAATGACCACAATTTGTTTTAGTTCAATGTACATGTAATAATATGTGGGATAATACATGAACTTAATACTGCTTCAAGGTTATACAGGTTTGACAATGTAAAAATAAAATAATTTGTTTGCTAACTTAGGGAGCTACCATTTGATTTTTAGGGGGGGGGGGGGGGGGGTGTGTCTAGGATGAGATTTGAAAAAAAAGGCAGGATGAGACAATATGAAAAAAAAGGCAGGATGACAATTTATGTAAACAAGTCAGGATAAACTAATAGAAAAAAAGGCAGGACAAAAAAGAGTGAAAAATAAATTTGCAGGACAGATTACATCTGGACCTAAAAAAAATGCAGGAAAAAAATTTTTCATCCTAGCCCCCACCCCACCCCCCTTTTTCCCCCATAAAAATGGAAAGGAAGCTCCCTTATAGTGTTTCCTTCAGAGGGTGTTGGCCTGGAATGGTACCCTGCAGTTTTCATAGGCCTGTTCATGAGAATTATTATGGTATGCCTTTGTCCGTCTGTCTGCCCTGATCTGTCTGTTTCTAGCATGTTGTTCACTAACTCAGTAATATTTTCACCAATTTGCATGAAACTCTGGTGAATTGATTATATCTACTGACGTGAGCTCTCTTTAAGATTTTTAGGAATTTTATAATATACATTTTCAAAATGTGAGGTTTTATTCATTAAAAAAGGGGGATTTTCATGTTAACGCCCATTAACTCTAAAAATGCTTTGTTCACCAACTCTTCAACGCTTTCACCAATTTGCATGAAACTGTTGTGAATTGATTATTTTATAAATTTTAGGTTTCCCGTTTCAGAGTTATATGGGATTGTATTTATGTATTGATGTGAGCTCCCTTTAGATTGTTTTGGAATTTTAGAATTTACAGTATCCAGTTACAATGTAAGGGGTTTTATTCATTCAAAAAGGGGGATTTCCATGTTTTCGGACATTAACTCGAAAATGCTTTAAGCAGTTGTTATTTGTCATGAAACTTTGGTTAATTGTTTATATATATCTATTGATGCAAGCTCCCTTTCAATTTAATAAATTGTGGGATTTTATTCGTAAAAAAGGATGGCTTTCCCAGTTTGCAGATTAAATTCAAAAGTTTGTACATGCACTTCTCTGGCATGTTTCAGTAAATGTGTAAATTATAACTGACATAACTAACTTTGACAATGACCACATATTTTTAAGTTCAATGTACATGAAATATACAAGGTAATGCATGTAGACTCGATACTGCTGCAAGGTTATACAGTGTTGTCAATGAAAAAAAAAAAAATTTGTTTGCCAACTTTAGTGTTTCTTTCAGAAGGTTTTGGTGTGGTATGACACCCTGTCATTTTTATACGCCCGTTTACGGGACGTACTGTGGTATACCGTTGTCCGTCTGTCTGTCCGTCGTCAACATGTCGGACATTAACTCAAAACCGCTTTCACCAATTTGCATAAAACTTTGGTGAATTGTTTATATCTATTGACATGAGCTCCCTTTCTTTTTTTATAAATTTTAGATTTTACGTTTCTGAGTTATGGGGTTTTATTCATTAAAAAAAGGGGGATTTTCCAGTTTTCAGACAATAAAAGCTTTCACCAACTTGCAAGAAATTGTGGTGAATTGTTTATATCTATTGACATGAGTTCCCTTTCGATTTTTATATATTTTAGGTTTTACATTTCTGAGTTGCAGGGTTTTATTCATGAAAAAAGGGGGCATTTTCCAGTTGCGAACAAAAATCAAAAATGCTTTCAGCAGTTCGTATGAAACTTTGGTGAATTGTTTATATCTATTTTGATGTAAGCTCCGTTTAAAATTTTATAAATTTTACATTTTACATTTCTGAGTTATGGGGTTTTATTCATTAAAAAAGGGGTGATTTTCCAGTTTTCGGACAATAGCTCAAAAATGCTGTCAGCAATTCTCATGAAACTTAAGTGAATTGTTTATATCTATTGATGCAAGCTCCCTTTACAGTTTCATAAATTTCTAATATGACTGGGAATTAATTGAACTTTATTTGTTTATAGTCTGACGACAGATTTACTACGTATTGCGCAACAGCACAGTGTATTGCACAACAGCAAGAAATCTTTAATTTCATCACTTTCTAATGAAGTCAAGCTTATTTTGCCGAAAGTTAGAATGATTTGATCTACAATTGAGTAACAAGTACCAGAAGTGATAAAAAAATTGTCTTTATGAAAATAACATGCAACCAACTTTAAAATCAATGCTTTAACCTAAAGAAAATAAATTGTTTAC